GAAACTCACCAATCACGCCCTTCTGGAAGGTACATGTACACGTATGCTGCAGCCAAGAGGCTCTGAGGCAAGTAAAGTCTGAAAAGATCCTGCACTCATTCCCTGGGGCATCGAGGTATTTACCAGTTGGCTGGGCCCTAGGCCCCTAGCTAAGGTTCGAAACGACCTGAACGCTCGGAAGAGATTGAAGAGACAGGCTCAGCCGCAGAGTGCAAGCACGGACATCCGAGAAGCTCCTTCAAACTAACGTTCCTTGTTCCTGACCGCATTCAACTTGACTGGTAAGTCTATCGCCATGCAGCTAGCCGTGACGGTTGATCGCGTAAAGTGTGACACACTGTACATGCACTGTATGTTGTAATAGAGGCAGAGGCAGTACACGTTGCCATTTTTTTATGTTACTGAAAACGTGCGGCGGAAAGTATTAGTAAAGAGTCCAATAAGACCAATAAGTAACGAGTAATGACTAACTGTCCACAAAGGTAACAATTCAATCATGTACATTTGTATTACAGTGGAGATCGGATATAACGACCTTGCATAATTATAACGACAGGTTGAGTTTAGCGACACACACTGTTGCCCAAGTCGTTTAGTCAGTCCTTTGTGACGATCGGGTTGAGTGACAGATCGAATATAGTGACATTTTGTTCTCTCCCGAAGGAGTGTCGTTACCGGTATATCCAATCTCCACTGTTGTGAAACGACAGGTTCTCGAGAGTGAAAGGCCTTCTCGCTTGTGACATTGTGTTCGTTTCAATGCAGCTGTATGCCGACTCCGCCGTACCGCTGATGATTACGACGTAGTATACGCTACATGCGCTATGTGCGGTTTGCTGAGTGCGCTGTAGTTGTATGTTGTATGTGTATGCTTTTCTCATATACGCTGTCATTTTCACGCTATAACTACCTGGTGGTTTTAGTGTTAGTTATTCAGTTCATTCAGTTGTTCCATTCATTGTTCATTGTTATTAGTCGATGGAAGTGAAAGATACTGTTGAGAATAAATAGTTGTCCTCGTGCCGTGTGGGGTCGTTCGTTCCTGATACTTTAGAGAACCAGAGGGTTCACAACATTTGGCGACCACGCCAGGATACGAAGCGAGCATGGCACAGGAACTATGGATCATCGAAGCCAGCTTTATCGCCAACGGAATTCGGTATGGATTTGAAGGCGATAGGTTGAGAGAATACGTGGAGAAGAGGCTCCGACAGAGCGAGGAGTTTGAAGAGCGCAGTGCTAGACGGCAAGAGTGTGCGCTCCGCGCAGAGTTTAACGAAAAGCTCAAGAAGATGGCCGAGCGCATCGCCGTCAGTACATATTATGAGGAAGCGAAGCGAGATTTGCTTGCCTCGCCCAGAAGGACGCCGGACAAGGCGTGTAAGACTTTGCTTACAGACAAGCAGCGGTCAGAAGAGTATTCGAAGCCAGTGGGAGGATCAGACCCAAGGCCCACTGGGTCGGTGCAGTGCATGGTGACATCGGTCGGAGACGCTCAGAAGCAGCTGGAGTCTCGGCCGAACGACGTAGAGGCGCAAGAGGCGCAAGAGTTAGAGGCGCAAGAGTTAGAGGCGCAAGAGTTAGAGGCGCAAGAGTTAGAGGCGCAAGAATTGGAGGCGCAAGAGTTAGAGGCGCCAGAGATAGAGGCGCAAGAGTTAGAGGCGCAAGAGTTAGAGGCGCAAGACATAAAAGCGCAAGGCGTAGAAGATAAGGAAACGAGAAGGGCGATACTACTGGTTAGCACGGAAGAGGTCAACGGCGAGACTGTGTGGAACACAGAGATCGGATGTGTGTTCTCGGGTTCCGCGCCCGCCCCGGATCGAAGCAGTGTACCAGTGACCGTGTCGTGTATGACAGCCCACATCGGCGAGCTTGGTAAAAGTATCGGTTGTGTGTTGTCTGGTTCAGCGTCCGCCCCATGTCGAAGTGGATCGGTAACAGTGTCGTGTGCGACAGCCCACAGCGGCGAGCTTCGCGATGTCGAGTTGTCTGAAGTGGTGGGCATTAGTGATATTCTACCATGGCCACCACCGCAGCAGCAGATGACGCGTAGTAAGCCCCAAATCGTTTGACTTGTGAGTTTGTACGGCGGTGAGAAGCCCTTTGGTGGGGAGAATGTTGTGAAACGACAGGTTCTCGAGAGTGAAAGGCCTTCTCGCTTGTGACATTGTGTTCGTTTCAATGCAGCTGTATGCCGACTCCGCCGTACCGCTGATGATTACGACGTAGTATACGCTACATGCGCTATGTGCGGTTTGCTGAGTGCGCTGTAGTTGTATGTTGTATGTGTATGCTTTTCTCATATACGCTGTCATTTTCACGCTATAACTACCTGGTGGTTTTAGTGTTAGTTATTCAGTTCATTCAGTTGTTCCATTCATTGTTCATTGTTATTAGTCGATGGAAGTGAAAGATACTGTTGAGAATAAATAGTTGTCCTCGTGCCGTGTGGGGTCGTTCGTTCCTGATACTTTAGAGAACCAGAGGGTTCACAACATCCACTGTATAACAACGTTACGGTCAGATAGTGCGACAACAAGGCACAAAACTGACAAGGATATTGAGATATTCAACAGCCCGACGTCTAGCTCCAACACATCTATGAAGCGCAAACCATCACCCTTCCATCTTGGGTCGCTGAGGTGCGGAAATTTCCAAATCCAAATGAGGGGAAGGGATGCGCCACGAAGATGTGTACGAGCTATGTCCCTGGGCAACAAAGCACGTCGAACGTTACGGGATGATGGTGACGAGACTAGTAAGAACATTGAACAACCCGGTCTAACTACCTGTACAACTCGACGACGCAAGGCAACAGATCACCCAACTTGGGAGGCTCAAAGGTGGGTACAAATACATAAAAAATAAAACAACTAGGGGAAGCCAAGCGAATACGAAAGTCTTGTATACATGCCGGCGTTGTGCTAGTCGGTATATTGGTAGAACTGTTCAGCACATGAGCGCACGGATCAAACAACACACACCACTTCACATTCTGTCAGAGGAAGCACGTAAAGACCGGCCTAGGCGTGGCAGGCTACGGAAGCACCCACTACCTGTGCTGCCCCAGCCTTCTCCACCAAATCCAGTCCGGTTATCCGGCGCTGGTTTAACAGATTCTCTGGTGGCTGCAGCATCAGCAATAGCAACAGCGGTGACGGTAGTCGATGGTGACTTGACAGCAAAACCGACACCACAGTCCATCAATAGCACAGATCGTGGTAAACCAAGGAATTCTCTGCCTCCTCAACCAACTCCAGGCACACGCCCCCTGCCGGATCCACCACCATCTGACCAAACCTCATCAGCGCCAATATCGGAGCAGACTACAAAAACAACTTCTCAAAGACCAAGACGTTCAACTGCTAATTACAGTATGAACTATGATACCGGCAAGCAACAACGACACAGGGCGAGACCCAGCGTGACGGCAACACTGGACGTGACTGCCAACGATGAGGACGATGACGGAAACCGCACGGAAGGAGGAGATTCTAAGCAGTGAGTTGAGTGAGGGAGAGAGCGTGGGTATGGGAGAGTGTAAGAGTGAGTGTGGGCGGGTGTTTCGACCTCGTAAGTCTTCTGTGTATGATCATTAATTTTGGTATCTCGTCCTGAATGTTGCCAAGTTTATTCTGATTCATGTTTCTCCATTTTGTCTCATGGACGTCATGGTTATCAGTTACAGGTGAAAGTGTTGGAGGCTGTTTTACAACGCATTCATAAGCCTGACCTTTGTGTTCAAAGGGAGAGAATTATCTATTTGAAATTGTTCAACCAGTAAAATGTTCTGTTAGTCTGGCCCGACAAGGCCAGAATTTTGTCACTATTGTTGTTTCATACTTGAATTTTGTCCCTTTGAGTGCGATCTTTCACGCACATGGTATCTTGCAAGAATTTCTTGTGATACTCTTTTTCAATTTTTGGCATTGTTTAGGTGTTACTGATCACTATTCATCCTTTATAATGGTCTGTGTTGCAATTTGTTAATCAGTATAACGATGCTTCCTGATGAGCATTGTGCGAAAGCTAGTTCGATGCATTTTTATATTTTTTCGTCGTTCCTATTATTGTTCTGCACATTGCGTCATTTCCATCTAGTTGTTTCGTTGTCCATCACCACTTTTCTCTAGAATTTGTTCGTCACATCTCAACAAAGTCTTCGTGAAATGACGCTGATCGGCTGATTCTGTTTATTGCCATCCTAGAACTACATTTTTTGCTTGAAGTAACACTCCTCGTGTAACCGAATTCCGGAAAGGGATACGTACTACTACTAGGGAGATTCAGAGAGTAGAAACTACAGCACTCAAGTATACTCAAGTAACGTTGCCGTTGGTTCTACTCAGAGCGACAAAACACTGCACAGGTTTGATGAGGGTCACCGACAGTCGACACGTACCCGGACCCACTGATCACTAGCTGTGTCTCAAAATATTTAGCGCATCTTGGAAAATAGCATCCTCCAAACGCCTTGCATTGTACCTGGATATGATTGTGTGAGCTCTGAATGATTGGCCGTACTTCCATGCTACAAAATGTACTAGTCACGGCGGTGCCAGGTACAATGTAGATCATACAGCCAAGCACTGCGTTGGCTTATGCCAGTCCTTCTTCGCCTTGCAGTGTTCGGCGCGGGAAGCCCAATGCTTGATGAAGAAGAGATATCGCACAGGTGTTAGCGATAGTATTAACGTTTTCATGATTGTACGTGCTCTCCTTACGATTCTGCAAAAGCCAGCACTGATCGAACGCCGTTATGGTGAGTCCGGTGTTGTGCTGCCGTGGCGCACCAAGTCAAAGGATTGCATAATGCACACACTGAACGTAAAGTAGCACTTTAAAATTTGAATGATGGTTGATAATGATGTGAACGGTATGCTGTATGGTCTTCTGTCACGTCGTTGATTATCTCTGTGATCTGCCTCTGCTGTTATCTGGTGTCTTTCGTATCGACCAATTATTGTGTGTCCGCGGCCCGGTCACTACCATGCTGGCAGGCGGGGAAACAGGAGGCGGAGGAGGACAATGAGATCGTAAGTATTAGTATTTTTATAGGTGGGTTGACTGTGCGAATCTGTGGTGTGCCCACTTGTGTCGTGATTCCTGCATTGTATGCCCGTATGCCAGGTACGCCGTCTGTGCGTTTCCAAGGCTCCTGTCGGTTGCTGCGAAATGCTTCCATTTCTGGACGCTTGATTCATGCCAGTTTGTCGAGCTGTGGCCATTGGTCGCCTCGAGTACGTCTCCCGAGTCGCTGACAGAGCGGATGTAATGATCTAGGACGGTGTCCAAGGCAAAGCCATCAATCAGCGCGAGCTATGCAAAGCTGCTGTCACTGCTGACAGCCGCACGGGCTTGGTTGTTGTCGGGAAGGATAACATTCAATCGTGTCGTCTCGGGCACACAATTCCATCTCTCTCGCGAGTCTCGGTCTCCCTCCATTGCATACCGTTCAGAGGGCAGAAAACCCTGTTCAACTGTGCTCGTCCGTCTCCCTCCGTGTACATCTATTCACAAACTTACCGTTGCATGTTGGTTCTGTGTGGCTGCTTCTGGCGTCACACGAATACCTTGGAAGCATTGAGGCTGTGCATCGGATCCTGTTGAATACTCTATGCAGCCCGATGGAATATGGACCTTGCCTCACCATACACACCATACAGCTCCAGCTCGCCCTTGATCCGTAATACTAATAATGGTCGGTCTATCTTGCTGGCCCGGCTAAGCGGGCTTATCCTCTCAGGAGCTCACGATCACTAGCACCCTATTTCTCTCAACAGTCAACACCTTTTGCTTTTATAGTTGAGTGACACTAATTTCCTGGTGACAAATCTGTATGCTACCCTGCAGCTGATCAGAACCCTGAAGGAGAGGAGCCACCAGTTTCAAGACAAGGCAAAGGTGAGTGAGGGTTGCGAGAAAGGAACGCCGATGCTTTATAGTTCTACCCTGTCTTCTCTTGCCGTGAGCTGTCAGCTGAGGTTGCTGGCAGTCACTGGGATAACGAGTTGGTGCTCTGCTGTCTGATAGTGATAGCCTTGGCCATGATTTCACACTCTGGCATTGTTGTGAGTGATCTTGTCTTGGCCATGACAAAGCTGCTGTTCTGGTGACAGGTGGCTGACAGAAACAGCGCCTGTCCAATCACCTGCCTATCAATAGGTTGCCCCTCGTTTGAACTGTTCGCTTCCAGCAGTAGCAGTGCAATCATGTAATGTGTTACTGTCAGTGAAGTGCTACGCGTATACCAGTAACAGTTACAGCAGGTTAGCATCCAGTCAAGTGACAGTTCTATACTTTTACTTTCTATCCCAACTCACTACCAGCTGTCACTGTGTCAGAAGGAATAGTATCAGTAACAATACTTGAAGTATCCGTAAACCCTTCGTTGAATTGTTGGTGTGTGTAATGGCTACTGAGGGTAGCCGGCTGAGAGCGCATGGAGGAGAAGAGGAGAGATTGTTGTTGAATTAGTGTGCAGCCCAATGGTAGATCTACATGTACTGTTCGTACCTGTACTTCTACTAGTTCAGTGGTTTTTTTTCGGGGGTAACGGCCTCTTTTACGGGCAAAATAAAGTCATGTAGACGTGAAAAAATAGTGGTTCGGTGTAGGCCTTGACAGATTATGCTAATATTTTCGTGAAATTATGCTTTTCGCATTGCTGAAAAAATTGCAGAATTATGCTATTTTTATGCTAAACGTTATCATATTATTAACTGGTTTGAGGGAAAGAGACAAACGGGAAAAGTCTGAAGAAAAAACTGACTGTCACCATCATAATTATTATGCCGCATTATGCTCACATATGCTGATAATGTATACTGGTTCTGTGCAAAATAGCAGGGGAATTTTTTTGTAGAGGGCTTTGTACTGTAGTAGCAAAAGTTCAAGGGGGTCAACGCACCGTCCGACCTAGCTACGACCGTCACTGATTGTAGTGGACTGGACATGTTATCAAGGGAGTCGTAAACCTACGACTTCCTGGTGCATCTACTTGTACTAATCGAATTGGGTCTTGTACTTGTAGAACATGCATTGTACAACTGTATGGAATTTGATGCGAACAGGCGGATTATTCCAATTTTATGCGATTCGTATGCAATCTGCCTCGAATTATGCGATTATTCGATTTTGGTAGGGATTATGCGAAAAAGTATGCTAGCATAATCTGTCAAGGCCTAGTTCGGTGGTTGTAGGTCCGAGCAACTCAGGACGACGCTCTTCTCTGATCATGCGTGTTACTTTTCAAATCTCACTGGAGAGTTACATTATTTACACGTTTACATGTAATATGCTAGGTCTTTATCCTTCGCTTTGTCTGCGTGGCAAAGCAAGAGATCTCTGGAGCAATGTGGGGAGGAGAGGTCAGGTCTAACAATTACTCCGGACTTCGGACACGTGTGCTTGGCGTGTGTGCCTCTATAAGACATTGTCTACATGTGTCACATCTGCACCTCAATTGGCTGTACAATCTACTGACAATCAAGACAATTTTATCAATAGAAAATTAATGTTTCCGATGGTTTCACCTTCATTGTACAGGTACTTGTAAAGCAAAACCCGTCCTTATGCAGAACGTGTAGCGTTTTTGAGTACATGTACATGTATGGACTTAGCACTATACCAGTCATTGTATGTGTATCATTCTTTCAGTGCAGTTGGTTCAGTGAAGCCTTCGATTTCACTGGCGTCCTCGGGCATTTACGAACCAAAAAATACACTCCTGTTTTTACATGTACGTGTACATGTAGCTATTTCATGCGCTTCACATTCATATACTCCCTGCATGCTGAAGACCCAAGGGTGAAAGTTAAATCAAATTATTTGAGAGATATTTACGACGATTGCAGTGTAAGACCGTGGTGGTGAAAAAGGAGATGGCGACATACCATGTACCGATACATTGTGATTGCTACTAACTTCATCCGCAAGGAAGTACTGCCAGTAGCCTAAACCTGCCGCAGTGATGACTCGACCCTGGAAATATTCGAGTTCGATACTAAGATTTCGTGCGTTGAGCCTCAGAGTCGGAGTCTCCGACAGTATTGCAAATGCTAGTTATGGCTTGGAAAATAGTTGTAAGGGATTTGGCGACGTCACTCCTGGGACCTCCTGTCAGGACATTGACAGCGTCTGATTCTTAGCACTTCTGGACCTGAGCTACATTGTAAATACGTGCTTCAGCGTGTCGCCTCCAACAAAAGCAAGGATTGTGCGATGTTGATGCGCCGGAGAAGTCTTCTCCACTCGCTAGTCTACTTCTAGCGGATTTTGTCATGGTCGTACGTGGAGATGTACATTGTCATGGTCGTACGTGGAGATGTACATGATTGTACATGTATTAGCCACCTTGTAATTGTGTGGGTGAAGAAGGAGAGATACAGTCATGTAGGTTCAGGCAATACCAGTGACATAATGTGGAAGACGACAGATACAATATCTTGCATACTAAAAGCTGAAAATATAAAGGCGACTTGGAGGCAAGAGTTCGTGTAGGCCTTTATCACTCCGGCACATCATACTGGTGGTAGTGCAACTGCGAACCTCTCTTGGCGCATGTATGTACATGACTGGAAGCGCCTGTGATAAGGCTGGATGCGTGTGCAGCTGATCCTGGCGGGATTTTCAGTAGAACCATCTGCAGTACCAGTGCAGTGGTGCTTTCCTCAATGCTATGGCCTATGCCTTTTGAAGGAGTTCTCTGGTCTAGTTCACTGTAGTGTAGTACATGTAGTAGGTGTGAACAATGCCGATACCGAGGGGGCGAGGGTCCATTCATGCCATTCTCTTTACCCACTTCGGATTTACTGTTCCGTGTTCATATTCTTGCTGCTTGTCCGAAGACTGCGAAGAGCCCTGACCGTCCCGGCATGACAAGGCGTATCTCTGGGAAGCTGCTCATTTGTCAGCGTTGAGTTGAGCGCATCTGCGAAACCTTACCACTACCAGTACAGTGCCAGTTCATGTGTGGAGTTGACAAGCGTGCCTAGGCCCAGCGCCGCACTTGATGATAATGGAAGCAGACTATTGAGTGCATTCCTTGTGTTACCTGAATAGCCCATCGTGCGTTGATCACCACTCGCGTATACCATACCGATAGGCGATACGTACGTGTCGTTGCAAGCATAATGATTGTGCATGTGCAGACGTGCCAGTACGTACATGACCTGTACGTGTAAATGTTTGAATCTATTATAATAATTATTAAAACTTACTTTGAAGCTATTTTTCGGCTCATCATGCGATCACCTGATGCTGTGATGGTCGGAGGCATACCATAAGTAGAGAAACGTTCGTACAGTACATGTAAATCGTGTACACACTGTAAACCTGGGCCGGGGGGTGTGATCATGGTGATGAAGATCCACACCAGACCACCACACTGTAGAGTGTAGCCATGCTGTGCACAGTCAGTGTACCCATACTACACATTGTATGTGACATAGTCATCACAAGTCATAGTCATTGCTGTCTATCTAGCTATGCACTGATAATTATGTGCTTGCTGGAGCATGGAAGATGGAGTGATCACTTGAAGCGATCTCGAATACACTGTACTTCAGTGTAAGTAATGCTCTATCGCCAGTATCGGTGACTCTCTTCACCAGGCGCTTGGCAACCATGCTTCATCTACGGCATCACGAAACCAATAATTTCAGTTCAGAACTGGATTCTCTCCGAAACTGCAGCATAGTGTAGAAAGATCCATGTAAACATGTTCTTCTAACGGTGCTGTGGAGTGTAGAGTTGGTCTCAGCGGAGTGCTGACGACCAGAGTTCATTCTCAAGTGGGAAGAGGGCGGACGTGACTGATCAACTTACAATGTACTAACTTCAGAGAGTTTAGTGTTTAATAATATCTTGGAATCTTGTGGCTATGCTTCGTTTTATAATCCTATACAAAGAGTTGAGCTGCATCGCACATACATGTGCATTGTACATGTAGATGTAACTTCAGCCTAAACCAATGTATTTCTTAGGGAAACGAAATAGCCGAGCTGAATGTCCTTGATACAGATAGAGCTTACTTTTACCGTACCGTAGAAGCATGGATTTACATTGTACTATCCACATGTACATGTACATTGTAGGCCTTTGCGGATTCTGCCGGCAGAAAAATTGGCAGAATTCGGTAAATTTTCTGGTAAGTTTCATGCATGTTTGGTATGTGGATAAAGAAATGGACCAGAATTCGAGGAATTGCCAGCCATAAAGTTTGTATGGTTCTGCCAATTTCACTGCTTTTCGAGCATTATCCGCCAATGCCTAGTACATTAGTCATTACATGTACAAGGGAGCGTCTTCCCACTCCCAGCTCTCCGCGTGAAGAAGATGAAGTCATGTGTGACGGTACTAAGGGCTTCTGATCGCCATGACGGCATGAGGCCTGCTATCGATCGGCAATTGAGAGTTGGTCGAGCCTGGGTATGCATGGCACCCGAGCAGTTTATCACTGTCTGGGTCGGTGGGCTTGCCATTCGAGATCGACTGTGACAAGGACTTGGCGAAAACGTACATGTAGATGCGGATGCACGAAAACGTACGACTGCTTCCTTGATGTGCCTTTGGTCTTATCTGGTCGTATTTCATTGTAGTCATACGCCTACATGTATTCGTCATTGTACGTGTGCGAAGGGCATATTGGGGGGGGGGGGGGGGGGGGGGGATAAAGCTACCTTTTAGTACCCTTTAAAGCAACACGGTATGCAGCTTGTTTTTCCGTGTACATGTGTGTAGTTTTTCCCTGTTCCTTTGATGCTGCTGCCTTATAACACACATGACGCCCCTACGACCAGAATGGTTATGGGTTGTTTGTACATACATAATAAATAGCAACAGGGTGTAGTATACTTTTGAGAACGGTTTTATGCACGCCAATTGGGCCAATCGCGTGAAACCATGAAGTAAGAGTCAAACTAAGTAGTACTACTTCGAAGTAGTATGTTTTACAAATTCGGCATTCACTCCTCCTTCTCCATGCGTTGCCAGTCAGACGGGTAGCTTCTCTTGTCTTGATCATGCTGGTAGCCTAGTGGTAGGTGCGAGTCTTTTGCGTTACGTATCGCGTTACCGTTCCCCCATGTACCTGTTGTCCCCCTTACTGCTTGGGCGGTCCTCGCGAATATTGCCATTGCATGTTATTGTTGTGTTCCAGTCCAACACGATGCCAAATCGGCCCAACATAATGCCAAGTGTTCTCGTGTTATAATCAACACGGCTGCACCACATTGGCTGAGAGTTGTTGGGCACGACAAGTATGACTGTACATACATGTAGTACTAAACCAACGATCGTGCACGTAGATGTACACGTTGTGTTAGAAACGCTTATCGAGCATCAAGCGTACATACATCCCACTCGACTGCAAAGACAACTTTCTGTAGAATGGCATTGCTGCATTATCTATTTCCAGTCATGCGAGCTATGACGGGCGAGGAATGGCGAGCTAGCTGGCCTGAAGCTCACGATGTAAAATGTCTCACAGCAATGGACTGTGTCGTTTCGTCGCGTCGTGGCGCGATCCGCGTCGGTGCTCGACTTTGCACTGATATTGCAGTGACGCTGTAGACCTCTAGCTCTGCGTGGGACACAACGCAGATCTAGCGTGCACTTGTGGATGACTGTGCTGGAGTCGAGTACATCACGGCACACACGGGACGACACGTGGATGCGAGGGAGCCTCGGCCCGTGATGCCCGCCCGCATGTGTGTGCAGATCGCATTGTGGTTTGAAAACGGACGCACTCGTGGTTCTAGGATACCAGTTCAGTTGGTTCGCCATTGGGTTACCAACCTACGCCGAGTTATCGCCGCGACTGTGAGGACCGATCTGTGGGCTGATCAACCAAACAAAGTGGGTACTGTGCAACTCGGTAGTGTGCTCGTAGTTTTCCGTTCTCTAGCCCTCTGATCGCATCATATCGCCACTGACTTTCCCTGAGTGCAGATCGATAGCGGGGCTTTTACTGGGCGAGTCGCCATTGGCAATAGCCACACATTCTCCGTACCTAACCGGTGTGGGAGATTACGCCAGCAATGGTCTACGCGTGACCAATACAGTTCTTGCGTATCAGTTATCCGCCAGCCGAGCCGTGCAGCGAGCAGACCCGGCCATCGCCAGTACACGCCAAGGGGGCGTTTAGGACAAAGTGTGGTGCTTCGGTCAGGGAGGCTGCTCCAATCTTCATCTAGAATCTACATGACTGTAGATCCTGTAGCGTATGATGTACATACAAGAATCACGCAGTTGTTAATAATAATGGCTGTCACTTGGTACCGATGCTCACAATGCCTCGCGGTCGGCAACAGCGGTCAGAAGACGAAGTCTCTAGTTGGAAATTCCTTGTACATACACGACCCGAGGCCAAAGCCGTTGAGAAGAAATAATTGTAATTCGGGACCTGGCACGCGAAAAGTGGAAGTAAGCATTAGATCTATAGACCCGAAACAAGAGCTACAAAGAGAATTGCAAAACTGATTGACACTTGCAACTTGTTGATGACAGAAGTTCAGGCTCCTCGCTGACAGGCAACTTCCGATCCTTTGTGGCAAAGGTGTGAAGAAGGAGCCCGTTCCGCAGTCACCAGTGGTCACCTGGTCAACATACTGTTCGCAGCAGACGTGTGAGCGATTGTTCAGTGCTGTGAGTGTGAGTGTGACTGTGCCCGGGCCATGTTGTGCTGAGTGCAGAGGAGGTGCGGCACACCGACAGTCCCAGCTCAGCACGTGGCAACAGTAAGTGCTGAGTCGAAAAAAGACTCGAAAATCCATTCCCTGTTTACAGGGTGGCACTTTTCACGTCCCTAAATCATTTTGATGAAAATTGAAAGGTTCAATGGCGCTCCAATCATTCCTTTCTATCGCTATTACTACTCACTGTAATGGGAGCATTCCAATAGTGGCAGTAATGCCGAAGCTCCGCCAGATCTCCCAGCTATATCATGGATTTGATGAGCTTCTGCTGCTGGAGCAAGGGCTTTATGTCAGGAAACATGCCAGGATAGAAGAATAGGAATTTCGAAATGCAAAGCAGGCGCTCTGTGATAGGCCGCTACTTGAAGCGCTCCACTCTGCTGAAGTCGCTGGGAAGAGCTTTCAAGTAGTTCTCCAAAGTACCACCCTCAGTGGGTCTTGGTAGCTGAGTGACCTTGATTGATAGCTCGACCAATTAGAGAATCACTGTTTTATGTTCATGACCCTCCTGATAATGGCGCTTGTAAAAGCAGAATATGTAGGGAAGCCCAACCGGCCCAAGAATCCGAAGAGCACGTGAAGAGGTTGCGATTGGCCGGAGTCCACAGCATGGCCGCAGTCCGCATGGAGATGGGATAGGCTGGTGCTTTTGACAGCCCCCTGCAGCAATCAGGACCATCCGTTGGTGAGCGCCAACCGCTAGTGCAAAGCTGTGGCCTTTCACCAAAAGAAGCATGGTGGTCCTCGTTCCCAATTCCCCACAGTGGATGGTCCCCCCTCACAGTAGTCCTTTCAGACAGTTGAAGGTTTGAGCCGAACATTAAATTTCAGCAAGAAGTCAACAGAAAGTGCGTGCGGGACATCGGCAGATGATAATTGTGCTGAACATCTGGTCAAATTATGTCCATGTTTGTTAACTAACCCTACCCTCACCGGAGCTGCCACAGGTGCTGAGGACCTTTTAGCAAACGTGACAGGTGCTGCAAGGTGATAAAGCCTGATGCTGGTGTGAGGTTGTGGAGAGCTGTGCTGTCAGCTACCATCGCCAGTAGCTCTTTGAGAACGGTGTGTAAATCATCATCCTGACACTGCAGTCGAGCAGGGGACATTTTCGGTGTCCGTTCTGTTGTTATCACCGGAGAGCTATGGAGATTGCCACATGTGAACTTCTAACGACTACTTAGTACTCTCAGTGTTTGGACTGTGTCTATTGAGGGTAGAGATTGCGAAATACTAGCCCTGGAGCATACTATGAATTGGCAGAGAACCCGTTGGGTCGGTGGGCAATGGCTTACAATGCTTAAGGTTTCATCTTGACTTTCCAGGCTTTCTTTCCAGACTGTGCCACAGCAAAGTGTTCAATGCTACACCAATGCACCAGTGCTGGGATCTATGCCGTTGACTGAAGCCTGGAATTTGCTGTGTGTCCAATTGATTTCTATTGTCCACTGCAGCTCAACCGCCTCTGCTCGAAAGCAGTCGAGGAACAGAGCAAGAACACTAAGACTGCTTTCCAGAGCGTTCTGAGCCAGGATCCACCTCCAAAAAAGCTCGTCGACAAAGTAACGGTGGCCAAGACTGCCAAGGCCCAAGCCAATAGTAAGCCACCTGCAACTGCTGCTGCTGTTGCTGTTGCCGATTCCAAGAAGCAACGGACACCGGTCGAGGAGGAGAGCACCGACATAAGCCTAGCCTCGACAGGATCGGCCGCAGGCAGCTCAACCGCTGAATCTGGCAGTAATATGTTGGACCCCTTCGAGCCCAGTCAAGCCAATCATTTCCCCTTGAATCAGGTGAGTGGGACTGTTCAATAAAGATAGATAGCAACCTGTAATTACCAATATCCAGGTTTTGTAAACTGGAGCGGCTGTATGCCAGTCTAGGGGTTTGATGTGAGCTCTGTATGAACCCATTTAGTAAAGAGAAAGAAAGAAACAAGTAGCCATGTTAAGTGTGCATTCGAAGTTGCAGGACCCAGTGGCTTCCGTGATGATCCATTGATGGCTGGGATCTGTTTTGGATTAACTGTAGGTGTCCTTCCCCATTCATCAACCTTTTTACCTTGATCTTCAAAATCCAGAATCATTTCAGAAGGATTACAATACTCAAGAGGGCAACAATTATTAATGGAAGCAGTGACTGTTAAGGTCCGAATACACAGGGATACAGTGCCAAATCAGCTATGACTGTGGTCAGTGGAGTGTAGGTTTTACATTACTTAGTAGATCCGGGTCTGGAGCATAGCAGTGCAGTAACACAACAGCAAACGCCCACACACTCAGACTACCGCAATTTTCTTTAGCAGGCAGCCGGGTTACTGTATAAGCAGAAATATTCGTCTGGAATTTAGTTTCGTCTTCTTCGTCCAAGGAGCTTTTGGACTAAATTAAATGCCGGACAAATGTCGATTTGTCCAGCTTTTCAATACACTCTTATGATTCATGGACGAAATTTTCAGCCGGACGAACTCCCCTTCTTTGGAGTTGGACGAAATTATTGACCGACGAAATGTTCTGCCTCTACAGTACTTACATACTTAGTTGCCAACCAGACCGGTTTTCCCGGTATCATACCCGAACACTACGGCAAGTACCGGCATACCGGGAATTTTCGAAGAACGAAGAGAAATGGCACAGAATCACGATTGTTCGAAAACAATTCTTTTGGTGTTTGAAATGCGAATTGTGACCAGTGCGGCGCACGTACACCATTTCTCTCAGTGTTGGTGTTAGAGGAGTCGGCGAAGTGAAGCGGCATTAGCATGCTAAAAGCCTAAAACATACGATGTCGCTAAGAACTGTCTGTACAAACCATGAAAAAGGAAGACATAAAACGAAAAATGGCGAAATTGGCGAAAACCGAAAAAAAATTAAAGGAAACAGGAGGAAGCTAAGGGAAACTGCGTGCGTGCGTGCGTGTGTGTTGTGTGCGTGTGTGTGTGTGTGTGTGTGTGTGTGTGTGTGTGTGTGTGTGTGTGTGTGTGTGTGTGTGTAAGGGAATGGCTTCAGCTGGGTTAAAAAGTATGTAGACCCCGAATGCAGGCCAGTAAACTATACAATGCTTCCGTTGTGACTGTGCTGGGCAACTATTTTGGTGATTGTATTAGTCAAATCTAGCCATAAGAGCAAGAAAGTGCTGGCACCTTGTAGGTGCAATTTCTAGGATCTTCAAGGCCTAATTGGATAACCCCCACTGTGAAGGGTAATCATTGTTACAAGTCAGCACTGGGAGAAAATGCTCACTGGGAGGTGGCAGGCTTGAGTCCCCATGTTTCTCTCAGGTGGCATCAGGAGTTACGTTGGGCTGACACGTGTATAACTTGTTCCTGCTGACCTTATCATACATGTACATGTAATGTACAACCCATAGTTCAGATCGAATCGTTCTGATGGTGTGCGTGTGTGTGTGGGGGGGGGGGGGGGGGGGGGGTGCAAAATGTTCCAGTGGCAGTCAAGTTGGTAATACTAGTATTGGATCTAGAAAGTCCACACAGCAATGTATAAGCATACATCTTCAAATGATATATATGCGTTTTGAGAAACAATCTATATAAGCCGATTCTATTTTGTCACACGCAGCAGTGTGTTGTGCATGTGAGCAAATTCCTAATATCTGGACTGGACACTTATTATGATGCAATAGCCACAGAGCCAGTATCACTGAAAACATTACTTACACTTGGGGAGTTTCCCTCACTGGCAAACCACTTACCGTATACATGCACGAGGTGCTAGCATAGGTGTGAGATATTGTTGTTAAAAAGGTGACAATGACTAAATGTGACCTCGCGATATGTTCTCTGGTGCTGGCATTAAATGTCTCACCTAAACCTTTATCGCTAAACTTGGTTTATCTATTATTCTCATGGCGCGAGATCATGCTGTTTTGCGGTTAGGATTTTGGTATAAAACTGCTCTGTTTTGACCTGCATGGCCTGCATTTTTTCATTCGTACAAGTATTTGTCTTTTGCCATGGCGAATTTGCCGAAGGGTGGAACGGTAAGAATTCGTTTGGTCTTGTAGCAGAGCTTAGTTACTCGCTGTAGCATTTCCTTCGAGGAAGTTGGTGTATCTAATGGTGATGCTGTGCTATGTGGTCCATGCATGTAGGGCAATATCAATTCCTCGCACGCTCCAGTGCCGGGCAGAAACATGCGCCCAGAGTCCGACATTGCGTCGACCGGCACTGCCCAGCATCTGGCGCCAGCGACGACCGGTTCCGCGCCGTTGCTGAACGACACCGCAGCACCGCCGTACGGCCCGCTCTTTCCGAACTTCGCCGGTTCGCAGATGAATAACCTGTTTGCTCGCTACCCGCCAGGTCACGACTCGATGGGTCCTGCGCCCCATATGCACCACTATCCTCATATGGCAGGTACGTCAACGTATGCTCACTGGCATTGGCGTTCTATCTCGAGGATTCTCCACAGGCTAATGGATACCTATCGAATTACTCTCACTGCCATCACTTCAGCGTTGATTTCATGGAGTGAAGCACGGATTAGGTGTGAATAATGTGAAGTTTTGTGAACCCACGTAAGACAATACAGATTTCGAACTGGGGCCGGGATGTGTTATTCTGTTTTGGAAAAAAAACATTTCCTTGTGCCTGAGATGATTGGCCTTTAAAGACAGGTCACGGGCAGACTCTCAATCCTGGCTTCTAGTACAGGTGTTCTTTCAGTGCTGGTGGTTCTAAGGAACGGTAATCTCTAAAGACAGGTGGTCTCTTAGGAAAGGTGGTTTCTGGGTGGAGGTTTGATTGTTTGTACACTCAAATGTATGGTGTCGTAATGTTCTGCTCTTTTCAGGAGACGCGTATGGTAATAGCAGTTCGTTGTTCACGCCCAACACACAGCCAACCGAGCCTATTGGTACCCTGACATCGGTACTGTCATCGCGCCCGTTCCCGGGGCCAGACCGACCTAACACCCACACAGTCGCCACCACCCCGCCGTACAGTCGAAAGCCACCCGGCAATGACAAGGTCGCCTCGTCGTCATCGTCCTCGTCGTCGTCGTCCAACTCAAAAAAGAAAAACAAAGACAAGAAGCGTCAGATGTTCCCGACAGAAGTTACACAGGTCATGAAAGACTGGCTAAATGCGAATATTGAAGTAAGAATCACGGATGGGTGACAATGGCCTAGACATTAAGAATAACGACGAAAGTAAAATTGTTGCAAGTTGTATAGGCATTGCAGTGTAGGTGTGTTGTTTCTTCCTCTGAACCTGAAAGTAAACAGAAGTAAGCATCAACAGTAGTACTTTGCATGCATCTTCCATGTTGAGTACAGACGAGAAAGCATGTAATTGTTCCTTTAATGCACATTTTATTTTCATTTATTTTTTTCAACGATCACAGCTCACAGGAAAAACCAAAAATTGCATGTGGGAGCATAGGGATGGTGAGGCTTTTTGCCCTCAGCCGACCTGACGTCTCGGCGTCATGTATGTGAAATTAACACACTGAATTTGTCTGTCCCCAAACACTAAGGAGTTTTTAACAGTAATTTGAAGGTTTCTAGGATAGACAGGCATATTTCCCCCATCCACTTGACCACCACCACTCCTAATGATCAATGCGCAGATCAAAGCAGCTAAGACGGAAGTATAATGGGGCAGTGCTCCTTCTGCAAGAAGACCTTTTCAAGCTCATGGTGTTCGGAAACTTTTTCCTCTCTGCGATACGTAGAATCAGAGACCCGCAACAAGGGGTAGCACTGTTATTATATATTCACAAGTTGAGGGAATGGAAAAGGGAAAAGTCTGAAGAAAAAATTGACTCTCACCACCAGGACTGGAACCAGTGACCTTCGCTTGAGGCCCTAAGGCCCTAATCACTGAAGTATGGTGACCATTATTATAATCATTATTGAAATAATAATTTGATATTACTCCCGATCCATCATAGTTATAGCAAACTCTTTTCTGCGCTGTGTTCACTTTGCTGTTTGGACCCTTGCAATGTAGAATCCCTACCCATCGGAAGATGTGAAAAAGCGAATAGCCAAGCAAACCTCACTGACGCTCCTTCAAGTCAACAACTGGTAAGCGAGAGCATGCACTATGCAGCATGGTAATGGCACAATTCGTATTCTATACTCCTCATTGCAGTCCGCGAAAACGAATGCCGATTTGTACTCTCAGTTGTGCCATTGTTGAGGATTACTGGCTAGAAAGTTTTGAGTATTCACAAACTCCTTGCAGCCGTTACACGTTTCGTTTCCTCAGTTCAAATGCGCAAACATAACTTAAAGGATGCGCCAATTTGTACGTTACCTTTTAACCCTGAAGCTGGGCCAGACCTGAACAATCGCGTCAGAGTGTTTTGGACTGGGGAAACGTAATGATTGCAGACTAACGTTGATTGCTATTACAAGGACCTGCATGGGCGTCTTCTTGTCGTAATTATGCTGCAGCCGACCTACATGGTGTACGGGGTTGGAAGGTCCGTTATGGTCGGAACATGCAACCATTTGCAATGCGTTCCGTCTACACAGAACTGTGAGAAAGTGAGAGCGAGAGAGGCAGAATAAGCGGGAGATAAAGAGAGAGAGAGGAGAGAAAGAGAGTGAGCAGATTGGCTTTGACAGTTTCCATTTGCTGCTATTGTTTTTGCGCTGCTAGGTTTATAAATGCTCGTCGGCGCTTAGTGCAACCGTTGATTGATCAACGCTCTGCAAGTCTAAATGGACAACCACCGATGGTAGTACCAAACCTGATGGGAAAGAATAGAAGGAGAAGTCGTCCCACGCCAACAGAAATGCCGTCGAACAGTCAGCTGCCGTCTGGCCAGCTGTCAGCAGCGGTGTCTTCGACCACCGTTGCCGTTTCGCCGAGCCGTCCGAATGAGCTGAGCACGAACTTCTCCTCGATGAGTTCTTTGACCTCATATCATCCTGGTCAACCCTCACCTCCACAACCTCACCATGGCCCAGGGATGGCTATGCATCCCACTCAAGGTAAACAGGCTAATAGGAATTGGAAAAATGCCCAGTTTCTTCGTTGTCACTTTTTAACAAACCAGTTCAAAGCGTTTTGCTCGTCTCCAAATTTTAAAGCATATCTTCAGTCAGCCTAATGGGTTATTTCTAGCGTTGAGCATCTGTTGGGGTGAGCTTCCTTTTTCAAGCCGTCACGTTTTGCGAACAATGGGAGCATTGCAGAGCCTCGGTGTGTGTGTGTGTGTGTGTGTGTGTGTGTGTGTGTGTGTGTGTGTGTGTGTGTGTGTGTGTGTGTGTGTCTACTCCACGGGGGTCCCCTAGGCAGGTGTTATTTTATCCAAAGGAGTGTGGAGCGTGAAGGCGAGCAAGTTAAATTTCTCCTTTCTTTCTTGCTTACGTTGCAGCAGTTGCAAACGCCTGGGCACCGCACGGCGCACACAATCCAAACTCACTGATGGCAGGCGCCGGAGGCATTTCCGACTACCATGGCTTTCATTCAGCGTACCCATCAGCGGCGAGTAGCATGTACCGTGGCAGCGACCCTGGCAATGTGCAGCCCCCACCTGTCACCCTGCCATCTCCACCGCTCAGCGCCGTCATACCGCAGTCCACCGCCCAGGAAACTTCGGCAGCCCAGCTGCATCAACAACAGCCAGCTGGAGTCGCATCTCAGGACATCTTCCCCAACAGCGGCGGTTCCAGCAGCTCGGCCATGCCCATGTCGCAGATGCCCGGCTTCATGATGGTCTCATCGCACCACCAGGTACCGCCGTCGCAGCAGCATCATCTTGACCACAGATCAATGTACCCCGCTGGGATGCACGTTGGCCCGGGGCCAGCGGGAAAGCAAGCGCTGCCGCCCAGTTTGAACCAGTCATCTGGCCAATGGCCGCCGCAATGGGGACAGTTGCCCTCACAACAACAGCAGCCCTCGCAGCAACAGCAGCAACTGCCGTCGCAACAACAGCAGCAAATGCCGTCGCAACAGCAGCAGCAGCTGCCCTCGCAACAACAACAGCAGCTGCCCTCACAACACACGACGCAGACTCAATCCTCGCCTCAAGACACCGCGGCCAGCACGGAGACGGCAGGAGCGGCAGTGCTGCGGCAGTAATCAGAACAGGTCGTGTGCAATGTACATATGAAGGCATCGTGTGAGTTCCGAATATTAGTCTTGAAACCTCTCCGTTCTTCCATTGAACACTGGATCTGTCTTCTTCAATCCTAACTCTTGGCTGAGTGTATCGACGTTGATAACTACTTGAACCAGGGAATCACAGATGTCACTGCCTGGATGTTGGTCTCGGACCCGAATCACTCAAGCTGAGCCAATACACATAGTGCGATGTACACGTGAAGTCGCCGCAGGTAGTCTGTCAATGTTCATTATAACTACTTCTAGAAGAATCGCAGTCGTTGTCACCCTGAGTCCTGATACTCGTCTCAGACCTGGACAAATCAACGTGAACGCATGTACGTAGTACACAACGAACTTCTTGTACAAATCCTAACAGTTAGTACCGGTTTTGCTCCACGACAATAATAACCAATTTGTTTGTTTCTGAAGTCAAAATGGCTTCACTTCAGTCCCCCCCCCCCCCCTCGTAAAGTTAATTACTTTCTCATACAGTGCAGGTCGATTATGAGGCAGGTTGTGCTCAATACTACTGCAAAGCTTCCAAGTAGCTGCCTGTACATACTCTCGTTGTACTGGCAACGCAGCTGGATCAACCTGTGACCTGTCTTGCACACACCTCCACATGCCTACAAGCCCAGACAACACTGGTGCATATTTACTCTCTTTTGGTAGTTTCTTCGGCTCTTTTGGTACTACGGTTTCTTTGGCTCTTTTGGTACTACGGTTTCTTCGGCTCTTTTGGTACTACGGTTTCTTTGGCTTTTTTTGGTAGTTTCTTTGGCCTTTCTGGTAGTTTCTTTGGCTTTTTCGGTAGTTTCTTTGGCCTTTCTGGTAATTTCTTTGGCTTTTTTGGTAGTTTCTTTGGCCTTTCTGGTAATTTCTTTGGCTTTTTTGGTAGTTTCTTTGGCCTTTCTGGTAATTTCTTTGGCTTTTTTGGTAGTTTCTTTGGCTATTTTCCATGGGTGTTGCACAGCTTGTTTATTCTCTTCCTTTCATCTTTCCACTTGACAATAGTACTGTAAACCTGGAAAATTTAGGCAAGATCGAAAACTTGACAAACTTAGCGAATAGACCGATTTTACCAAGGTTAAACCTTGCGGTTTCCTAGCGTTTCTAGATCAGACAGGTTTTGTTTCAGAGCTCTAGCACTAGCACTCGGATGTCGGGTGCCATTTTGAGCAGTGGAAGTCTACGGCATGCACATTCTAGATCTTGGCCGCAGTGAGAGGGGATTTTTGATGTGCAAAAATTGAGACGCCGCTGAAAACACCGTCGAAACGAAATCGCTACGGGAATCTGTTGCTAAATTTTCCGGTTTACAGTGCTCCAAGTAGTAGAATGACGGCATTTCAAATGCTCTGTGCATATTCCTCCAGCTGTTGTGCCTGTATTTTCCCCCTGCTTATGGACTTTCCCATGATTTTTTGAGTGCCCTTGGTGACTTTAGTGATATGGATACTGTTCATCGAGATTCGATACTGACTATCATCGGAGCAGGATGTAAGTTTGTGCTGAGCTCACATTGGTTTATGCATGTCGGCTTGGGCACATGTCAGATCAGCGGTCCACAATCGTCATAATGATCATAGTATCTTTTCGTGTTTTTTACATGTACTTTTATTTATTTTGTATTTTTTTTAGTTGTGAAAATGATCACGAAGCGTGCATGCACTCAAATATGTGGCCGCGAGTGCTCTTTATTGCAAAAGAGTTTTACTTATTAGCGAGGTTGTCCTTGACACGCACTTCCTGATCTTTACAGCTAGCTGTAGTAACTGCTACCGTCTCCACTCTCTCCCTGGACTGCACACGAGATTTACCTTGGAATGAGTGATGATTTAAAAAATAAAAAAGCCGAAGCCGACATGGATGCTGTGTGCAGTGTAGAGTGGTGCATGCCAAGTATTAGTTGTGCGAACTAATACAAGACTAATTATTATTACTTGTGGGAAAGACGTGTCGCGGTTAGGACTGTGGTGTTTAGCTGGCCACACTCACACAAAGAGTCACAGGCCGCATGTCCAGTGTACTGTGTAGTGTGTGATTACAATACAATACAATAATGCCCATCCGAAGATGATGGCAGGTCCTGAAAGGACCGACAGTGTTTCAGTCACACGGCACAGAACTTCGAGTGGCGAGTGAGGTCCTGGCGACGGCGAAAATCTCGGCCGCAGTGGCACCTGAAATCCCGAGACATAGGTTTAGGCGGCTGGATGGTGTTGCAGGCCAGTCTCCATGGTCTCCACGCACGACGGTCCTCGGCTAGGCTGTACCAGTCATTGATGTGGCGTTCCTCTAGGTCAATCACGATGTTGTCACGCCAACGCTTGCGTGGCCCGTGGCGAGGGCGCGTCTTCTGGAGCTCACCAAACAATACGCACTTCGGTATTCTGTCGTCCGACATGCGTCCGACATGCCCCAACCAGCGAAGACGGCGCGTCCTCAGCATCTCCACCACTGATCGCAAACCAGCCCGCTCCAGGATGACTGCATTGGAGAGATGCTCATTCCATTGTTCTGACTTGCTGACGTCCAGGATAAACCGAGCACAGCGGTGTGGAACACTGACAGACGGCGGGTGTCGGTTGCCTTGACAGCCCATGACTCACAGCCATAAAGTAACGTTGAGAGGACGACTGCAGAGTAAACATGAGTCTTGGTACGCACAGAGATGTGGCGGTTTCCGAAGACAGCAGAACGCAAGGCACCAAAAGACCGGGAGGCCTTGGCAAGACGGGAAGAAACCTCAACCGACAACTGGCCATCATTAGTAATACAGCTACCGAGGTATGTAAATAAATTAATTCGTTCACGATTTCGATGTCGCCATCTGCCAACGTCAAGCATCCGGTCGGAGGGGGATCAGCATTGATGACCATGCACTTTACTTCGTTTTACCAAAACTGACGGTGAGGCCGAACTGGGTAGCGACGGTCACGAACAAAGCGGCAGCAGCATCCATGTCCGTTACTGAATGGGTGTACAACGCGGCGTCATCCGCAAACTGAGACTCGGTTATGATAACTTATAGTGCATTGAGACAAACGACTCTTGGCAGTCCGGTCGCCAACAAGCTTACGGGCGATTTTGTACGAGACTGGGATACCGGCACATTTGCAAGGAGAACGCCATGCATCCATCACCACGGCAAAATACAGATTGAACAACACGGGCGCAATGCAACCTTGCCTCAAACCATTGTTGACTGGGAAAGAATCCGAAGAAGCTGTAGACACTCGCACGGCTGCCGACATTCCCTCATGCAGGGACTGTAGTACAGTGTGTGATTACTTACATACCCACACTGTATGTACGAGGTGACTTCTTCTAGGCCGGCTTGAGGAAATGGTCGGTCACTAATCTCACTATTCACAAAGCAATTAGTTGACTTTACAGTGTAGATCTACACCATTACATTGCTCTCACCATGCCGCTACCGTGATCAAGTAAATCAGGGTGCAAAAATAAGTCAGTGGAACCACGATTACAGAACCCGACCGTATTTTAGTGACTCAAGAAATATCCGTTTTGTTTGTTTTTGTTTCACACGTTTGCTCATTGCCGCTCATCATTTCAATCCCCCTTGCAAATGCATATCCTGTTTTCATAGCCTCTGCAAGCGTGTGCTCATAATTCAATAATAAATTTCGTCCTCAGAACCATTCCTAATCCAACCAAGGCACAATGCGCATTCAATAAGGTGAAGTGGCTCTGAATACAGTGAATAGGCACCCAGTTGCCAAATGCTTGGTAAAATTAATTAGTTACGCTCCGGAACTGCTGAGCTATACTTCCGTGGGTTTTACTTTTAGGCACGCGACATGTACCGAAACAAACAGGCACCTGTCCATTGAGCCTACGATTAGTATGAGTGCTGTAACACCAGCTCAAGAGTCAAGTACTTCAAAGAGAGAAGTGTCATGGTGATGAAATTTCAGTTTTCCATGCGGAATGTGTGGCAAAGCGGGCTGGTGTACCGTTGGCAAGTGGTGCTCAAACGAGTACAGGCAAGCAAGTAAGTGCGTTGAAAAGAATTGTTCTGCACAAAGTGAACACCATGATTGACAACTCAATATCAGTGCTGGAAAACCTACTGTGGGTAAACACAACTTGTCCACATGTCACACCACATGCTTCAGCTTCGTCACTTGAAATGTTGCATAGTGTAAGTACTTTTATAATGAGTTTGACCGAGATTTCGATATTAATAGCTAGTATCATCATGAACTGTCAAGATACCGTATTGCAGGAAATTTTCAGACGGAACTTATTTTCGTACGATTTCGTACACGGCCTCTTTTGTACTAAAATTAATTGCGTACTAAAATTTGTTCATGTGAAATTATGTACACTATAGCATGCATACTGCTTGCGAACACGTGTATTTAGCATGCAGCATAGCTAGCACTGTGCGAAAATATAATCCGTACGAAAGGTCGAAATTCGGCTTTGTCCGAAAATATTTCCATCCGAAAATTGACTGCTATACACTGTCAGTAGGCTACTTAGGTACATGTATGCATAGATGTTGCAACAAGTCAGACCTCTTTTAATCTTCAGCAGGACGTGATATACCCCTGCCATTGGGCTCTGCACCAGTCACACAACTAATCAGGCATGGTGGATTCTGGCGCAAGCAGCAGCTTGCTAAGCCGTTAGCATTTCTCGACACAATTTTACAGCCGGTGGTAACACGAATGTGTGGGCTTTACTTCACTTTTATGCAATTTAAATTTTTTTATCGTGAAACCTACCAGCCGAAAGCAGATGAAATATGAAAGGTTCCAAAATTGTACAGAGTTTTTATACGATGAATTTATTATCAGCATATCAAGGGGTTTCAGTAGATGAAACTTATGTATTCGTGCAAAAGGTCTAGTTTGACGTCATGTCAGTACATATGAGACGTGGCGTGCCTCGAGGAGGCCTCAATAAAATATTTCCATAGCTGCGATATAATCAAATTGAAACTGACGTGCGTGTTTTTGTCATAACGTACATTGTAAATGCTAGAGCTACGTCAAGTATTAGTAAGAACTGAGATAGTTCATCAAAGCTACTTGGATTAAATTAGAAAAATAAACCAATAAATTAGATGTCAATGTCAATACTGTTGAATACAGTTCCATCACCTAGTAACTTGTGTGATCTATGGAAGAAGCGAAGGAAACGCCAAGGACATGGTCTAGGTTGTTAGTTCCTGCACACCATCGCGGATATCCACCAGCCCTCGCATCAATCTCTCCTTTGTGAGGCGAATGTACAGGATGCACACGCGGATGACGAACCGGCCGTCCGGCAGGGTGGTACCGGAAAGATAGATGTTGTCGCGCTGGTTGATGAACAACAGTAGGTTCTCGTTCAGCTTGCACATGTGCTGGATGTGTTCCTTGCTGGCCGACGACGCCGTGTCAGCGCTATCGTCAAGCGAGGCCGATTTGCCAGCCTGGCCGGGCGGAGAATCGTAGCAAAACGTCAGGATCGACAGACTGGGCTCAGTGGCGAGGCGCACGCCCAGGCTCTCCATCTGACGCAGCTCGTGCGCAAACTCTGCCGTCCAATCCAGCCGCTCGTCCAGCGCCTGGCGCCACTTGCTCAGGCCGCACAGCTGCAGAGGAAACCAGAGACGGAGTCCGTAGCAGGGCCGAGTCAGCTGCATGGACAGCTCCAAGAAGTTGTCCTCGTCCTCGCACATGCCCGGCAGAAACGGCAGATCGGTCTCGACGGAAAAGGCTCGCTTCAGATGCGCCCGCTCCTTGACCATGGTCAGGCCAGTGGCCTGCGGCAGGAAGAAGGACTTGTGAAGGTCGATGGCTATGGAGTCCGCCTCTTCCAGGCCGTCCAGTGCGTCCCGACCGCGCTCGGTCAGGTTGAATGCCGCGCCGTACACGGCATCCACGTGCAGCCACACGTCATGACGCTGGCACACCACGGACACCGCGCGGAGATCGTCGACCGCACCGGTGTTCGTCGTGCCGGCGCTGGCAACGACCAAGAACGGCTTGCGGCCAGCTTTCCGCTCTTTGACTATGCTCGCCTCCAGTGCCGTTGCATCCATTCGTAGCTTTGCATCGCAGGGCACTAGGCGCATCGCTGACTGCGGAATACCGGCCATAACTAAGCCTTTCACTATGCACGTGTGTGTTTGACTGGTCGCGAGCACAACGCCCTCCAAGATCTGTTCTTCGCTGAGATATCTGCGGCGCGACGCCAGAACACCAATGAAGTTTGCCATGGAGCCACCAGACGCAAATGATCCGAATGATCTGCCCGGGTCGTATCCCACTATCTTGCCCATCCAGCGGATGACATTCGATTCGAGCTGCACTAATCCGGGGTTGGACAGAAAGCGTGCCGTGGCTCGGTTTAGACAGCTACACAGCAGCTCGGCAGCTGCTGACTGAAGCAGTCCGCCAGTCGGTACGTACGCACAGAAACCGGCTGCCGAGTCGTTCTTGCCACTGCGGGCCGCCACGTTGCACACCAAGTCCAGGATGTCGGCCATATCCCTGCCTGTCTCCGGTACATCTTCCTCTTGTAGTCTGTATATGAACACAAGTAGACATGCAACCACCACCAGCAACAACATCAACAGTCAGTTGCTCTAGGATTTCAAATAGGGGTGAAAGGGGTGATCAGTTTGTTTAGCTGCGGACCCGTTAGCAAACGAGTACCCGTTAGTCGTGTACGACGGTACAGTACGGTAATATTAGCTGGTTTGCCCAGTTGTAGAATTCGATGTACAGTTCGAATGTGTTGTTGCTTGTTCGATCCTACTACATATGACAATTTTGACTGTTTTACATGTAGCGCAGTATGTGCGCATGCTGTGCTTGTCGCGATGTAGTGTACTTGCTGTGAATTGCATGACTTTGCACGTCCTGCTCGCATGAAATGTATAGTAACTGTTACTATTGCAGTATTGGCTGCTAAAGGGTACCCGATAACCCGGCCGTTAAGCCACGTACCCGCTTGTAACCTAAAAGGGTAACCGTTTCACCCATAATTTCAAACCAACCGGGTACACGTGTACCTGGCACAACTCTTGCAACCGGGTCAGTCCCGGGTACATTCAAGTGCGGCTAATGTACATCAGGGAGCCTTAGGATTTCCTGATTGAGTCCCAACCAGGTTACACGTGACCCGGTATTCTTTTTCCAAGCGGGTCCAAGTACCCCCAACCGGGGTCCAAGTACCCCCAACCGGGTCACTGACCCGGCTCAGGAGCAGACACTGCTACTAGGTGCGTATGGGGAAGGGGGGGGGGGGGGGGTGGGAGGGGGCTGTTATGTCCTTGCGACACACTCATAGGTGCAGGGTTCATTCAAAGTTTATGTATGGTGTGAGGCGCCAGACACAGTGGTGCCTACCTACTGGACATTACCATGATTACAGATCTCGTTGCCTGGAACCTCAGATGTTTAATATAATTCTTATAATCTTAACACACAGTTTCGTATGATACACAAAAACCATTTCAGCTGTACTCAAGGCTAGCTAGCTGGCAGGGTTATAGCTTTCCTGAATCGTTCCTACGCTCCCAAGGCTAATTTCGTGGCGATTCAACCGAGCTGTGCTACTCACTTGCTAGCAAGCCGCCGTGCAGCTTCCACGGCCTCCGGACCGTCCTCCAGCGAATCAATGAAACGCGTCGGTCCGGTATCCATGAACCGTATCGCGTCGGTCATCGCTACGGTCATCTTCTCTAGTAATTCCTGAAATCCTTCAGGTGATATTCTAAGCTCGTCCATGTCGGGTGCTTTTCCCAGCGAGGACCTCAGCCACTAGTGCACTACTGCACGCTAAAATAATGTTTCCAGCGTCCTTGTTCTGGATACAAATAATTCGTTGGGAACGAAATCGCGAAGTCACGGTCCCTTACTTTTTTTAGGTGAAGAAAATAATAACGCTGGCATTGATTTTTATCACGGTCTAGTCTTGACTGACTTGACACGACACAAACGTAAACGTGACTGTCGCCGTAAAGGTGCACAAAAATTATGCACGCGCACAGCCGATAATCACGTACTCAGTACATGACTTGTGACGTTGTGTAGATCTACACGTACACGTGGCGTCTACAATGTGATCACTGATCAGCTGATGAGACAGACTTCAAGATGACAGCGATACAATAGTCATAATCATTGTATCGCTGTCATAGAGCCAGAGAAGAGTGAAATAGTTGCACGAGCACTCGTCGAGCAGTCGGCACGTCGCCGAACTGACCTCTGACTCTGTACAGTCATACAAACTACACATGTACATTGCGTTGACAGTTTTACATGCTCTTACCAGATACCATGGATACAGCACAGGTCAATGATTAGGTATGTTCGCAACTGGATGAGCGATTCAGCATGCATGACAGTCATCATCAGATCATGGTCATGGATTTTAATTTTCACTATGACTGGAGACTGAGCATCTGTACAATCATGTATTGTAAATTTTGTACAATCGTCATGTACGTGAGAGAAGAGAGAGAGAGAAAGAGAGGAGGGAGGAACAAGAAGACCATTGGACGGGTCACGGAATCAACAGTTGAAAGGTTTGCATGAAGATCATCATTCTGGTAGTGAAATATTGTGTCAAACATGCAATGCAGGAAAGTGAAGTGATAGAGGAAACCCATCCTCTCTTCTGTTCATTGCAGAATAGTACATGTATCAGATAAAAGACATCTCTAATTTTAAATGCTGACCACTGGCAGAAGAGAGAACTCCAGAATAAGTTGCTTTTTGCCCACACTAGCTGCCCAACATGCATGCTCAAGCCGAGTTCCCCAGCTCGGACCACCATTGCCATTGGCGGATACAGTCTGTCCAATAACCGTGCTGGATTAATTTTTTTAAAAGGAAAATGCGCAATGGGTTGCGTTTACTGGCCAAAATTGCGATGCAACATGTACACCATTATTCTTCATTGATTTTTCATATGTTATTGCAGGAAGAGATCATAGGTTAAAGCAAAGGGTTTCACTCCGGGACTAGAATGCAGACATTGCGAACAAAGACCAGCCAAAGCTCAAGTATGAAGAGTAAGACCAATCATTAATTTTGATGTCACAGCATAGACTGAACAAATTTAAATACAATTTTATACAGGGGAGGGGATAACAAAATGCTAGTGGTCAACGGGAAAATATAATGTTTTAAAATAGATAACAAAAGTAGTACAGTGCGGTGGGGGTTCTGGGACAAAAGTCACCTTTGACCCCTGGCTGCCAAATAAGGAAGAATAGTCCATATATGGCAGATGACCTTTGACCTGTGAGCTGCCATATAAGGATGAATAGTCCATATTCTTCCTTATTAGGCAGCCAGGGGTCAAAGGTGACTTTTGTCCCAGAACCCCCACCGCACTATACTACTAACAAATTTACACTGTGTGCAAGTTCAGACTTTTGAAGAAACTGATTAGTCTTCAAATATTTCCGGTGACCCATTCTACAAGTAATGGGTGCTGTTCGCTACAAGACCTCTGGCAGTCGGGAACTGACTGGCAGCCGTGGGTGTAGCAGTCGCGGGCCTTCCTGCTTTGGACGCGGCCTTCTTCGATTTCCTGTAGGAAATGATAGTGAGGAGCAGAATTCAAATCAGAACAAGCTACGATGTGCGTTGACTGTCTAGAATGCCCTGTGCACAGCATCCGGTACAAGTGTGTTACAGGAATGGACAAGTGATTAGACCATTCTTACCTTGTTGCTTCATGCAAAGATACAGACCAGGCAAGGAGTTTGCTGGGCTGCTAACATCATACCTGCGTGACATGCAATCATGAGTTTAATTTGGAAGTCACGGTGAAAGGTTTGGGGTTACAGGAGATGGCAAACAGTTTGCTCTTACGCCTTCTTTCCAGCCTTTCCTGCCTTTCCGGCACGAGTCGCCGCCCGGCCTGATTCGATAGCTTCACGCATAGCAACTGCTTCCGTCAGCTCGCTGCACACAGAAGACAAAAAATCCCGGATTTCAATCTCAATACATTTTTTCACAGTGAAACTTACGATTAGTGTGGGCAATGGAACCACACATGCACGCACGCACACACACACACACACACACGCACACACACATGCACACACACACACACCAACACACACACACACCACACCACACATCCCACCCTCTCCAGCCAGCCCCCCCACCCCCTCCCCCCCCCCCCCCCCCGTCCCACACACACACCACTAAAAATGAATAGCAACATTTCATCCAAGAAACGTTGCACTTCAAAAGGCTGAGAGAAGAGATGGAAATGAACCAAGTTGGAATGCAAAGAGTTTCCTAACAGACCAGCGTTTTGTGACTCTAGATGGTCAGAAAGGTGCCCAGTAGGCGGACGTGCCCGGATTAGGGCCGTCCGGATCTGGGGAGTTTTACTGCACTCGCTTCACCATCCTTTCGTCCTGGTTGTACTGTAAAACTGCCCAGATCCGGGCAGGTTGGGACCGAGCACTGTCCGTAGCTAGGAATTGCCCGTAACTCAGAACGTATGTACTTACTGGCATGCAAGAAAACATCTTTTATGCCAATTAATTAGTTTTTGGGGCCCTTTCCCCCGTTGAAATGCCAATTTGTATGACTCTAAATGTATGACTGTAGATGGGTCAGAAAGGTGCCCGGTAGACGGACGTGCCCGAATTAGGGATGTCCGGATCTGGGGAGTTTAACTGCACTCGCTTCACCCTACTCTATATTGCTCGTACCTGACATCTATGATGAGATCCTCGGCGCCCTCGTCCAGAGCGGCAGTGAGAGCTGCCTGCACTCGCGGCGCCACTTCCGGTCCCTCGTAGTCGCGAGTAGTTCTGCCTGCCAAGTCCAGGTCCACTTGCAGTGCGTTTTCAGGCTAGAGCGCATAGCAAGAAGTAAAGCAAAGTTCACAAGTTCATGTTACCACCTATACGGTAAAAGCAGAAATTTTCGGTGATGTAATATTTTTGGTATTCTCCAAAATCGGCGGTTTGGTGGAGGGAAATTTTCGGTAAACCCGGTTTCCAGGTAAGTGTGCTAATACTACATGCATACAGTACCGGTTCTGCCGAAATTTTCGGTGGGTTTTATTTTCAGTAAAAATTGTCGGCACCGAAGTTACCGAAAATTTAACACCACCGAAATTTTCTGCTTTTGCAGTACATTGTTGTGTTGAGAAACGTAGCCTGGGATGACAGCTACATATCAGAGCTCATAGTACCATAGTTCATAGTACCATAGCTCATTATCCTATCCACGATGGGAATTAACCATATTGCGTGACCGATCCTTTCAATGTTCTTATCTTTCATTTTCCTTTCCCAACTGGACTCTTCCTTGGTTCCCCCTTTCTCTCTAGCTAATCTCTTGCACCTTTTTGCTATTATTCATTTAATGTGGGGCTTTGAATAAATCATGGACACACCATAGCTCAGTGGCTAGAGCATCGCTGGCCACAGGCGATGGTCCCTGGTTCAAGTCCTGGTGGTGAGAGTCAATTTTTTCTTCAGACTTTTCCCATTTGCATCATTCCCTCATATCAATGAAAACACAACCAGCTTAGGGAATTTCGCTTGCATCAGTATAGTGTTGAAAATACAACAACAGTGGAAGGTGAAACCAGAGGAGAGAATATTGAAGTTTGTGTAGTCATAACATGGCTCAGGGCTAGGCAAATAGACCTCAACTCACTCTTAGCCATTATCACCGCCGCTACCGCTGCTTATGCTGCAATTCTATAATTACATCGCCAAATTTTCAGCCTAGAGTCTTCATCGGGAAGAATATTGAGGAAAGTGTCTGAATTGACTGATATTTTCGTTGCCGGTGTGTTGTTGCATGAGCCATGCCTATTCGTTTCAACAATAGTGCTCGAGGATGTGTTTAACTGTGCTGTTCATGCACTTGCAACTATGCGTGTAACGGTCGTTGAAAGCACTCACCCGATACTTTACGTGACCCGGTGCGATAACGGAGTGCTGACTGCTTCGTTTCCGTTTCGTCGATGTGTCCCGCGACTTCCCCATCGGCCTAGGGAGCACGACTTCGCTGGGGAAATCAATAATTATCAGGTAGAGCATCAAAGAAAACCAAAGTTGTAACACCCTGTATCTGCTGGACGAAAGTCTCAACTGAGTGCATGCATATAGCATCCCCCTCTTGTGTTCACTTGCATAGCAAAGCGGAGTCGATTATAAATCTAACCTTTTTTGTTCTTTAAGTCTAGTGAAGAAGGGTGAGACTTCTATTCGGAGAATAGTGGTTCCTATTCATAACGGACCATAAAGGATATGTGCAAATTGTCACTACAAATGGGAAAATATTGCCCCTCTCCAAGAGAAGCCACAGTCGAAGGTCGTCTAGTGCATTGATAACTGCAACGCTAACGCACAACAAGGGTTGACGCATACCGTGCTTCCCAGAATGTAAGTCGCACCTTTTTACACTAAATTTCAAGAGCGAAGAAGGGGGTGCGACTTACAATCGAATGTGACATCCTAGTTACGTGCCAATATTGAAACAACATGGCCCAATTCTGAAAAAGGTGGGTGCGACTCATAATCAAATGCGACCTATAATCGGGGAAATACGGTACCTATAATCTTCTTTGACATCAACCAGCGTCCACTGGTCGGCATCCTCGTCCCACTCGGCACGCGACATTATCCTCTCCCTGACGTCTTCCGGTACAAAGTTCTCCATTAGCAAGTCTCTGCAACGGGCAAAGCACAGTACATTCGGCGATACGTGATCAGGTTTTAAAATGTAAATGTTAATGCTGATTGGAAGTTGCCATTCATACCTATCCGCTTCTATCCGTTTTGCAGCAATATTCAATTGTGGACTAGAGGAGGAGGTCTCTTGATCTTGAAATGAAGCTGATTTGCTCGTCAGTTGTTGTGCGCTCCTATCGCACTTTCTCACTACATGTTATCCTGGTACAGTCAAGTGCAGCTGCTTCAAAACTCGTCCCTATGGGGTCTTTTCAATTTTCAATTTAATATTGGTTCAGTATCTAAGTGGAAGCTGATTTGGGGAATAAAAAGAAGCAAGCATTGCAGAGATGAGGAGAGACCCTGGTACAGAACATATAGGAACTGATCTGGTGTACAGCTCTACACAAGGATGTTTGTAGCTGCAGTGCCTTTTGTAGCAAATTATCTTACTTAAGGCGAATTTCCCGAGTCAGATCCTCCAGTGTGGACATGAGGTCAAGTCGCTCATCAGCAAACACACTCTCCAGATCGCTGATATCCTGCAGGGCAGTCTGGTACTTGCCATACAGCTGCGAATGTGGCAGAAACAAAACAAAACACACAGCACACAATGATAGCTTGAACAAGCTGCTGCCAATATGCGGGATGTTATGTTACGTAACGGAAATAAAATGCTGGAATGATACTCGATCTCCAGTCAGCTAGCTTCTTCGAACTTGTAAGGCCAAAACACATGAGCTGAGAGTTGCCGAGCCAAATGCAATGAAGTGAAGTGCGATGAAGTGTAGCTAGCAATAAAGCATTTTTGAACCGGTTCAAAGCATCAACGTCAGTGGGTTCAAACTAAGTGAAACACAACACTCTGTACAAGAATTGCTGCCAGACATTACAGGAGGAAAGAACCCACCAGCGGAAAGTCACTTACAGCGTTGAGTTTCTTTGTTTTGACCATGACCTCTTGCTGGAGAGAGCTGAAGGTTTCCGCCACCTCAGCAGTCGACTCCTCCTTGGCTTCGAGCTCTTGTTGCAGTTCTCTTTCCTTTCTCTGCCGGAGAGAACAGCACATTAGTATAGAAGCCATACATGTCAGTACTAGGAACACTAATAAACACCAAAGCAAACGGTGTGCTCAGTGCATTGAGTGAACAGCGACTGAATGAAGCGGCTGTCAGTTGACAAGCCCTTTGTTACGTGCCACTAATGACAGTATATTTTGTTAGGTGCCTCCTCCCGTTCCATTGGAAACCGTGTGTCCTTGTCGGTAACTTTAATGTTCTAATGAAATACGTACAATATCACACCAATTTAAGGGGTTCACGCCGAACGCAGAACGCAAAGTGCAGCACCTGACTTTGGTACTGTCATTCAACTGTGGTCTTTCGCAGTAGAAGCTTTCCATCGCCGAGCCCCAAAGCTCAGACCAGAGATCCGCTGCTGCTGCTGCTGCCGTCGTCGTTGTTGTTGTTGTTGTTGTTGTTGTTGTTGTTGTTGTCGTCGTGGTCGTCGTTGTTGTTGCTGCTGCTGTTGTTGCCGCCGTCGCCATCGTCGTCATTGTTGTTGTGAAAGAGGACCAAAATGCCCTACCTTTTCTTCGGCGATCTGACGTCGCTTCTCTGCCAAGATCCTCTCCTGGTCTTCTGTGTGGGCATGGATAGTCTTTCCACCGACCAGCAGTTTCCCTTGCATTGCCTGCATATAGTCAACATAGAGCTGTGTTGCGACACACACATCAGGTTAGGCACTCGAAAAAGCTAGCTCTGTACAATGTAATTGTACAGCCTAGGCATAGCCGGCAATCACACAAACAGTACAAATCACAAAACTTCAAGGGAAATCCCCTTCTCCCCTCATTATTCCACTTCTCTCGACTTCGAATGTGTTCACATCCTCATGCAGGCACAGACACTCATGTCAATGAAACGAGACAGCTTGGAAGCCTAGTAGCCCTCGTTATGCTTTTTTTACCTAGATCGTCATGTGTGTTGTTCAAACCGATAGAAACGTCTTTGCTCTACGACTATCGAGCAAGTGTTTTCGTATTGCAAAGAAGGTTTTATCAGTTCTAATAACACGCATGACGACCTCAGTAAAACAAAGCATAGCGAGAGCCCGCTCGTTCCTAATTTGTTTTAGTTATAATAAGAAAGTTAAGCTCAGAACCACAAATAGATACAATCATAATTCAAAACTCGCTGATGAGTCCACAAAGGACGAAACAGCTCTGTCCGCAGGTTGAGTAATTCAAAACTCTAACTCCCAGACAGGTACATTCTACCAAAGGTATTATAGTTAGTATGCAGCATTGGGTATTACGCAATGGTGCTAGCTTATGGTGCTAGCTTATAAATTTATCATTTTCCTATTTTGTCAACACATAACATGGGATTCGAACCCGCACTATCGCCCCGCATACATTCCCCCGATACACTTCGCATACACACACATTCTACCAAGTTGCTTCACGTTATGCATATCAATTTTTTGTCAGATCTGGATAAGAAGAACTCCGGATAAGACAAACAAACTTGTTCGGTCCCTTGAAGTTCGTGCTAACGAGGTTTGATTGTACATGGACTCTGCAGGTGCGTGACCACTCACGTCAATAGTCTTTGATAGCTTCTTGACCGTGTCCTGTTCCTTGACGAGCTGTTTCGATCTCTTGTGTAGCTTGTGCATGAGCTTGTCCTTCTCCTGCAGGTTTCACAATCACATTGTATGAACCATTGATACAATGCATGTACAGTACGCGTAACAGTATGATTGGAAATTCGGACGCAAGCCAAGGAATTCAACAGCTTGTTACAAAACGAATCCATGCTGTACGTATGCATGGGTGTTCAAGCCATTGTCCCATGACACGCAATGAATATAATTATGTTATCAGATCTTACTTCAGACGTGCTGTGTGCTAACACACGGAGAAAATGTGCAACATAACACTGCTACTGCTCAGCACGCTTATGGCGCGTCGCAGTGTCATTTTGCACTTTGGTCTTACCTCGGCAATTATTTCCTTGTTCTCCAGGATGGCGGTTTTCTCAGCCTCGATCTTGGCTTGCTGCTCCTTGAGCCTTAAAGCTGCATCTAACCGCGGGTCGTCCTCTTCTTCAGCACCGTCGTCGTCTTCTTCTTCATCACCTTCCTCCTCTTCACCCTGGCTTTCTCCGTCTTGGTCACCCTCTCCCGAACCTAACATGAGGCGTGGCACGAAAAGCGTACAAACAGGAGCAAAATACTAAGCTCTCTGCAGTAGCACACAAACAGGAGCGAAGTGCTAAGCTCTCTGCAATAGCGTACAAGACGAAATCGCAGCAAACTGTTTGCAACTGGTCCCACTGACAGCGGCAACACAGCAGATAATGAAGAGTATGCAACATCTCAGCTAGGAACACTACATTTTCTGATATACTCGGCATCAAAGCCGGTTGAGCTTGTCGCCACCCCCTGAATTTAAAGCCACGCACCTTTTCGTTTCTTCTTTCTCCGCTTGCCTTTTTTGTTGCCCCGTTTTTGCAATTCTGACTGCAATCTGCATGGAAAAGAAAGAAGAAACAGCAAAATACAGGAATTCGAATACCACCCTGTATACTCTGAGCAAAAGAAAAAGCAACGAATGGCTAGAGGAGTAATGAGCAGAGCAAAACAAACAATGGTGGTCATCATGCAAGTTAATGCTTTCTTGCTAACGTCCCGGACCTTTATCATGAATATCTCACCAGTGGAATTGAAGATACAGTAAACCTTGTGACTAACGACCACCCCTTGAGGCCAGAGAAAGTGGTCTTTAGTGGCAGGTGGTCCTTAGTTAGAGGTTTGCACCGCACAACGATATAATTCTTATGAATGTGAGACCGTGCCTGGCGAAGTGGTCTGTGGTACCAGGCTGGTCGCTAGTCACGGTGGTCTTTAGTTACAAGTTTTACTGTAATACAGAGCCGAAGCAGTCCGGTCATTTTTTTTCATGATGTTTCATTCATCCACTCCATATAGGGCTTGAAAGTGCTACGTCACAGCATAGCAACAATTTCAAATATTCAAAAACTGGATCCACTTGGATCCGAGCACATTTCAAGCGGTCTTACTCACAGCAAGGTGATGTAGCCAGTGCAACTGACTGATTTGGCTAATAGGGGCGGGGTGACAACTGCTGGCAAAATAAAAGTCACACCTGCATGCGACATGAGTGGGTTGCTATGCACCCACATACTTAGGCAATAGCAAAGTCACACCTTAGTGGATCCAAAATAGAAATCTGATATCAACTTACTACTCCCTGGGCGTTTTTGACGTCATCACTTTCAAGCCCTATCGTTTGCTCTCATCATTTATCTCATGCCGAGATTCTCTATACTGAAGAATGTTCATTCCATTTCAAAGTCTTCTGCACCCATCACACGCACTATGCACGTCCAGTGCTGGCAACTGAAATCCAACCCCCGGTGCGCGGTGCGTTCACATTCTGGCCGTCTCTTTTTCGTAGTAGTTTTACAATCCCGTGTTGGGTCTTTGCGATGTGAGCACACCGTTCAGGGGTCGTATTTCAGTTGCCAACACTGTACTGTGTACATACTGTGCACATACTTCTGTATCTCGTCTTGGTACTCGCGAAGGAGTGCGTCCTTTGGGTCTTCGTTGATCTTGGGTTTGTTCTTGATGTTCTTGGCCCTGTTTGCGTACCTGCAGTAACATCAACATTGTGAGACTATGTTTGCAGATGGGTGTTAACGTTGTACCAGCAAGATGTCAGCGAATACATGATATCAAACTGATCAAGTGCTGATGTCATTACACGTGAAAACTGAAAAGGCACAATTAATGTGCAGTCTGGTTCGAGGAATCAAACAGGAATACGACAAAAGAAAGACCTGCTTTGAGTGTTGATAAGTGCACAAGGATCTTTCAATAGGTACTCACCGAAGTGTTGTAATTGTCTCCTCGTAGTTGTAGTCAGCTGGTCCCTGATCAGTGGGGACAGACACCAATACATGCAGCAGTACAGCAGACAAAATACATCTTAGAACCTGCATGGACATTACCTATTACGCTTCCTTCCTGTCAGCAGCAGGAACAGCGAATCTAAAAACTGGCTCCTACGCAGTATCTGCTAACCACTACCCTGGTGTCTGGCAGTTGCTTTACAGCCACGTTTGTACTACTGTTCACCCAAGGAAGATGATGATGTTGTACTGTACATGCTATTGAACCATGGTACACGCTGCTGCGCTGCCTTGTACACACTGCATTGTATCGCTGACACGTGCACCTTTTTGTGCTGGTAAATACACCACTTTTGTGCTGATGCGTACACCACTTTTCATTATTTTAATTTAGTTTGTCTTCTTCATATACCTCAGTGCAGGATCCAGGGCAATATCGATCTGTCTCGTATTTATCACACTGGCCCATGTGTATGGCAAGCCCCTGCAGTACAGCACTGACTAGTAAGCACTTGCATTTGAGAACACACATGTTGTTGAGGGGCACTTTTCTCCTACACGATTGAGTGTTGCGATTCCCAAGATTGACTGTAGTGTCCGTCGCTCTGAAGCAACTCTAGTGAACATAGCAGTGCAGTGCAGTCAAGCTGTACTCCGTCCAGCAAGACATCAGAACATGGCTGTTGCTGACAGCTACTACTGCTGCGGATATTGAAGTCCGTTGAGAAGTCAAGTGGCCACAGGGCTCTGGCCTTGCGGCCGTGAGCAGTGGTGAGCAGTGGTGTGAGCAGTGCTGAGCAGTGGTGAGCAGTGGTGAGCAGTGGTGTGAGCAGTGGTGAGCAGTGGTGAGCAGTGGTGAGCAGTGGTGTGAGCAGTGGTGAGCAGTGGTGAGCAGTGGTTGAGCAGTGGTTGAGCAGTGGTTGAGCAGTGGTTGAGCAGTAGGCCTCCGCGGAATATGTCGGCATAATTTCGGGAATTATCGGTGTGATTTTTAAAACGGGAATTATTGGCAATTTTTGTGGAATAATCGGTAAAATTTGAGCAATGCCCCCCTTTTTTCAATTTTTTTCCATTTTAACACCATGATTTGTACCAAAAAGCTTGTGATCCTGAATGAGTTGATCGCCCGGTATTTCAAAAGAGAAAGAAAAAAAAGCTTCCAGCCGAGTTTCACGCGAACCGTGATTTTTTTGCCCGTACAAGTGGCAAAAAAACCCGTAAGCGGTACGGTATCTGCAAAAAAGGGAAGAAAAAAAGCATTATCGTGAGAATTATTGGTGGAATTACGGGAATTATCGGACGTAATTTTGAGCAATGCTCAAAGGAATTATCGGTAAAAATACGAGCATATTCCGCGGAGGCCTATTGAGCAGTGGTGGTCCGTTTTTGCAGTGTTACAGTGCTAGTACGCGCTAAGCAAGTAAGAGCGCCGGCAGCCCCGGTCACTCCAACTGATTTCAATGTCCACAAAAGTAGATGAGTGCTTCCAGACGAGAACAGCAGTATTCCCATTCCGTTTTTGCTTTAGCGTAGCTCTGAGGTCGACACACTTATTTATTTTCTACCCTTCCTCTCTCCGTATTTCTGCCCCTCCCCCCTTTCTCTCTCATTCCCTCCAGCGTCCACATGTATCAAAGGAGGCTAACCCGCCTGTTTGTGGTGCGACTTTAAATAAACTTCTACAACAACAACAACAATAACAACAACAACAACAACAACAACAACAACAACAACAACAACAACAACAACAACAACAACAACAACAACAACAACAACAACAACAACAACAACAACAACAACAACAACAACAACAACAACAACAACAGCATATGCCTAGCATCAGTCATTCTCCCATCATATCTTGCCACCTACCATGGTAGCTACCATCACTGTTCTGGCGTTTCCACCCAGAGAATCTGCCAAAGCATTGCACACAAGGCATAGCAGGCATAGCAGGGATATGCACACACTCACTACTCATTTCCCACGATCCCATGATCATTATTGTTTTGATACAATCATTTGCTGCTTCACATGTTAGCGCCCAGATTTCCCTATACCCATTTCATTATGTACGCAAAGGTTTGTACTGTCTCTGGAATAGTGCATGATGTACCTGAAACGCAAAGCTGTTCACACACCGTCATTCATATCAATGTGTATGTATTCATGTTGCTTAGAGTTGGGGAAAGCATGGTAAATGACATCATCATGTTGCTTAGAGTTGTGGAAAGTATGGTAAATGACATCATCAGTTGCTTCGAGTTGGGGAAAGTATGGTGAATGACATCATCATGTCTACTTGGCAAACAGGTCTTCCATGCACGGGAACTGACCTTGTAGCAGACGTGTCAACTTGGAGTCTCGGTACGGAACGAAAGAACTTCGGCTATCGACCTGTGACGGAAAGATGCACGCAGGCATGTGTGCTCTAGTGCACATGGCTTTCAAACGCAGTTTTCCTCTATCTTTCTACGTTTCTTGGTTACTGTAAAAGCCATATATATATAACGAAGTGCTAACTCTAACGAGTTAACGAGGAGAAATCTGTCGTTAAAATAGAAATCGTTATTCAGAAATCGATACATATACTGTCCTATTTAGCGTTGAGAATGAGTGAGAATCGTTTACCTTTGGTACACGTGAACTAGTCAATTCTGGGAAATCGTTATATATGCGCCTCGTTAGAATAATGGCTTTTACAGTAGCACAATTTGTTCTGACACGACTGGCTCTCACGCTTCATCTGATAGTTTACACATGACCGACATGAAGTGAATAATAGTTTGGCTACACAGGTAAACTCAAGGCGGCAATGCTCTCCATCAACTTACCAGAGCAGAGATTACGTTTCCAAGTGTCGATAGCGATAAATTAATTTTCGTTGCTTCCTTGAGACGTTCACCCTGCAAAGGATATCATTATAACAAATCGCATAAATCTATAGGTACAAACTGCTCACACAACAGCGCTGAAAAGGTACGAATAAATAAAAATTAATATCAAACCAAATAATAAATGTGCAGATCAGCAACAATTCATTGAAGGAAGAAGAAAGGACCATTAAGTTACGAGTGATGACTAACAGTCCACCAAGGTTTTGTGCCTTGTTGTCGCACCATCTGGCCGTATTATTATCTCTTTACCTAGGTGGACGTTTAGTCATCACACGTAACAACAATCATCACAATTCAAAAAGATGGACAGGGTTCCAACGATTGTCATGGCAACCGAGCCGGCTGATTCCCTCTGTCTAAGCCACCATGCTATGCTCCCCCTCCAGTATCAGTCCTGACATGTCAAAAGTGGAACCCCTTGGCTAAAGAAAAGAGTGCGACACAGATCCATCAATGGCAAGTGACTATGCTATGACTTACTGTTGCACCTGTCTTGGACTGTCTCTCACTGCCTGCCAAGTCCACAAGGTTCAGCTTGCCCACGTGGATATGGTTTTCGCCATCAGGCCCGACCTGCATGCACAGATTCATAACACATTTCGCACAGGAACGACACTGAATTAGTTACTATGTCGTCTCCCTAAATGCTACAACTCTGACGTAAACACACTTTCAGCAAAAGAGAAGTTTCACATTCGTCACATGACCCTGCGGGGCAGCCATGTTGGTTCCAGCTCCAGTCAACCCCTGCATCTACATCTATAAAAATGTCACATGATATCGGCCATGTTGGTTCCAGCTCCAGTCAACCCCTGCATCTACATTTATAATTATGTCACATGATATCGCCCATGTTGGTTCCACTGTCTGCATGACATGATCATTTTCGGTACAAATTTCGTCACATGACAAAAGCATCAAACTACTCTATAGCCTGTGGAAATTAAAATGGGACGTACGCATCAATTACTCCCCATTAGGTTTTGCACGGCAAGTCCACTACAACTGTATACACAGTTACACACCTTGATACCAGCTCTGCATTACAGGTCGTGGACTTTTGTACTAGAATGGGTTGTACCTGCCAAGTATGGGGCAACTTGCCCCGGAAAAAAAGGTGACGGCCATCTTAGATGCATACATCCCATTAATAAGTGCAATGCGTTTCCACTGAGCTTCCCTGCATAGTTCCACTGACCTTGCAACATTCCACAGTGATGATGAAGATAGCATGCGACCGGGATGAGTGCTCGTTCATGTCAGTACACCTGCAGAAGCAGTCGGTGGAAATGGAAGGAATGGGAAAAAAGGAGGCATGTTTCAAATCCAGAATGTAAAAAATGGACAAATTCCCATGGAAACCTGTCTATGTGCGTAGTCCCTAGCTACATTCGCGGGGGAAAACACACTTTTCCAATCGTGGAAAACCTACTTGTGAGCATGCACAGTAGCATACCATAGTGTTAGGCAAGCTCCAGATATGCCCACATTCCGTACCCTCGTCAGACAGCACTTCAGTATCGCCCAGTTATCAAAATCACAGTCACCACTTCCGCTGCACACCTGGCTGGGCATCCCATTGCTTTGCAAGTTGCTAATCCCTCCCCATTTTTTGTACGTGCTTTTCATTTTCATTTTTCTCTTCTTCCGTGGTTGGTCTCACCATCTCCCCAGTTCAATTGGCTGTCTTGGCATGCTACGAGGTGCAGAAATATATTTAAAAAACAATACCCGTGCATCATGCCACACCGACAATGGGACTGTGTCACCTACCAAGAGTGGAAAAGAGAAGAGATTATCCTGTTTTTTTTGGACTCCACATTTTATCCCAGCCAACACAATTATATGCATACTGCTTCCGGCGCTGTAAATATGCTTGGAGCTCCAAAGAGATGTTGGAGAGATATGACAAATTGTAAAACAAGTGCATCGCAAGCGAAACAATTCCGACTCGGGAGGGACGCCTAAAACACATCGGAACCCCCTGTCAATAGGGCTTGATGCGGGATGCAAAACAACTCAGCGACATCCGTTCTCGTTAGAAACGAGTCAATAAAGCTCCAATTTCTAGGAACCCTGCAGATGCATATAAAGAATGAGAGTATGAGCAAGATTTAACAAAGGACCAGGTTGCCATACTTACCCGACTGATCTGTTCTTGTTGCCCACGGTCATAACCCGTTCGATTTCATCGGAATTCTTTGCAACAAACGCCTTCAGATCCTGAGAAGCCAGAATGGAAATATCATACAGAAAATAGTCAACATTGTTCGTCAAGTACATACCATCATATTTACGTCAGTAGTGCAGGGAGAAAAAATAAACATTCCACTTCCGTCATAACACTTCGTTCTTCTGTATTGGAAAAGCAGAATAAAATTGTCATGGTTCACGCGAGACTCGCTTAGAGTCTGAGTTTTCTGCACTACTCTCCAGGATTATGGTGCATATGTACATGTAGCTACTAAAGCGATGGGAGGTAAGTAGATCACACCCACCACTAGGCGGTCAAAGACCGACAAATCCCATTCACTGCATCTATTATCTCCTAGTGTTCCAGGCCACGGGTATCGGAAAGACCAGCCACACATTGTCCATGGTGACATTCTCTCTGTCACCTACCTTCACGTATATACCGGTGTCTGGCCTGTCACGCAGTTCCAGTCGGTTCTCTTGGTCCTTGGAAAGCAGATCCCTGATCTGTTCCTGCAAAACAGCAAATAAATCCACAGCATTGCATGTGGGTGAGAAAGTTACGGTACCAAAAAGGAATCGGATAAAGAAATCTGCAATAGAAAGACATGGGTACAGCTAATGGGATTTCGGTCTTTGACCACTTGGCGGTGGGTCTGATCTACTCATCTCCCACCGTTTAGGCGCTGCATCTGCGCCTTTGATCCTAGAGGGTGGTGGCGTTCCCACGGCGGATGCGGAAAACTCGGCTTCCAGCCGAGTCTCACGCGAACCGTGAAATTTATATTTGATAGAAAGAAAATTAGAAGATAGCCTATCAAGGTAAATGGTTCCAGGACAACATACAGGTTGTGTGATGCAGTACACAACCCACAGTAGCTGTCAAGATTCTTGTTCATCAGAATTCATTCGGAGCCAGAGCCTTCTGTTACACTGTGTTGACATTGAGATAACGGTAACAATGAGTTGACGACGGGACCAGTGGCACTCTTACCTGGTATATTTCCAGATAGGAGGCCCGCACAAGGTATTGCTAAGTACACATATGAAAAGGACACACAAACGTACACACACACACACACACACATGGATTTTGCTTCTGGAAGGATGTCATTGTACTTAAGGCAGGGATGTAGGAATTCAGTAACTCGATGACTACTTTTAGAACTTTTAAGAAGCTTGTATCAATCAATGGGCAATTGCAGTAAGACAATGATAGTGTACAGGTCATACCCTGGAAGTGCCTCTTCATATTAATCAGGGAACGTCTCAATTTAGTCCGTTGCCGTGGCAGAGTTTTCGACACGTATCAACATGCAATGCAGGGCAGCAATGAGTGCACTCTCACCTCATCCTCAGATCGGTTGATGTGATCGAAGATGTGCTTGAACGAGTTAGGAATGACACCGCAGAGCGTGGGATCTGTGCGATCACCTGTGAAAAGTAGGATCACAGCAGGGGAGAGCACTGTAGGGTTTCTTTCCTCCCTAAACATGGTCACCAAGTGTACCCAAAATACATGGCCAAGAGTAAAATTTAATATACATCTTCCAGGGGGGTCGGAAAGTATTCGACATTGGTGCGGCCATGAATGGGTGAAGGGTCCAGGGGTCCTACGCTGGGAAAATGGCGAAGGTTGGAAGTAATTAAAAGGTGGTACTTTTATTCGCCCATGCACGTCACATTCGAATTGGTGTTGGGCACAACGGGAACGTGAAGCCGAGCCTCTGCTAACATCCACCCCCAATACTTACCTTCCATTGTCCAGGTCTTTCCAGTTCCTGTCTGTCCGTAGGCCAATATCGTGCCTGAAGTCACATATACATGTAAACAAGACCAAAGTAGCATACGGTACATGTAAGTCAACTAACATCTGGCACATATTTATTTCAGATGGTGAGCCAAGGAAAAATTGTAACAAGGAAAAAAAGAGTGTGGGCGCAAGTGATGAGATTGATTCCTTGAACTTGTGCCGACACTCTTTTTTGCATATTTATTTTCGGCCACTAGGCCCGGTCATGTTTGGCCGAAAGTTTGTTACGGCCAAAAAATTGTTTTGCAAGGTTTGGTGTGACAGTGCACGCAGGCGGCAGCAGTACAGGCCGAAAATTCGATGCGGCCGAAATGGGTTTTACCCCTTGGAGGCCGAAATTTGAATGGGCCGAAAATCTGTAGACTTACAGTAATCAACACTGGAGGACTGCTATCAACACTGGAGGACTGCTATCAACACAAAGCTATGATCACTTTGAAGTGTCTTCTCACAGAAATTTTAACGTCACAGCACAGGGCCCAAAGCCAGAAACTCTACAATAGAAACAGAGCTCAGCCGTCCATTCTGTATCCACTGTTGATGCTGTCCAGAACAATGAAAAACGTGTGGAAAAGTGCTGTGAAACATTTTTTTACTTTGCACCATATTTGGTCGTAAACAGAATTTTATTCGGCGAAACAGAAGCGTAACAGTTCGTAGATGATTCTCATGCAAATTATGCCCATGTTGAGCTTTGGCAATACACCCTTAAAGACGATGTCCTCTCTCAATACAGCAGACAGGAATTTCTTACAAGTCGATTATAATTCTGCAGCACTAACTGCAAACAAGACGGCATGGAAAAGCTAAGTGGCCTCATTAGAAACCTGTCAGAACATACCATTGTAGCCCTGTAGTACTGATTCAACAAGTGGGCTGAACGTCTCATCATACAGATCCTGTTGTTTGGAACTGGAGGTCATAGCACACAACAAAGAACAATGCCGGTCAGGTGGCCCGAAGCATGCAACACGGGGAAGCTACAGCAGTTGATCTCATTAAAAGTTAAGGGCAAGTGATATTTTAAAGAGAGATCACACTCCAGATGTTTATGCATTGGCAGGACAACAGGACAGTGTGTGTGTGTGTGTGTGTATGTGTGTGTATGGATGCATATATTTATCGGTGTGTCCGCAAGGAGTAGTATGAACTTCAGGGCTCACGGTTGTGCACAAATACGTGGGCGCCATTTTGTTTCTGGCCTGCTCACGCGACGACAGGTCGACTGTCACGCGACCACAGCTCGACCACCCCTTGTACACAAACTCTAGCCATCTCGCAGCGCATTTTCAGTGCGACACATGCCTCTTCAAAATAGAATAAGGTAGCACGGGTAGACAGTACGACACTGAAAATTTGGGTGGAACCAGGCAATATGTGAACTAGGGGTTCAACCGAAGGAATTTTTGATTTTGGCCCCGGGAAACTAAAGATATTGTCACAAAGTCCGCGAATGCTCTACAGCGATCCCTTGATCTAGGGAAAAATCGCTTCGGTTAAACTGTAGCTTAGTATCTCCTGAAGATTTTGAGCCATCGATTGTCAAAATCGGCCAATATTGTGCTACCTTATTCTGTTTTGAAGTGAGCTAAGTCGGCAGGGGCGCACGCGAACTCCCGTGCGCGACGACAAGGAAGGAAGCCTGTGCATATGCGTTGTACGATGCGGAAACTACACCAGCAAGGCAGCGGCAAGGCGTTTTTGCAATGTTTCCTCCGTGACTGACAAACTCTTGAAATATCATTGACCGTTTGCTGTCTCGCTCATCGGCGCTCTACTGCTGTGTGCTTCAGCAGCTATGGCGAACCGAAAATACATGACCAGTACAACGGCGAAGCCATTTGATTCGTCCTCTTGCAACGAAAGAGAGTGGCAAATCAAATAATTCACATCTCTCCATCGTCACTTCTCACAGCAGCGTGGCACGGCTCTTTCACTCGTGTAAGTGCATTTACAAAACGCTCTGAGAACAGAGATAACGAACTAGAACACGGTGTGAGTCTTTGCTTCATTCCATCAAGGAGCTCTTGTCCTCTACCTCTCCTCACCTGCGCCAGTGCACCGGTGGACGACATAGATGTCGATCCCTTTCTCAGTAAAGACTCGGCGGCAGAACTCGCGACTTCTCATCGCAGGACTCAGCGTGCGAACGAACTGTCTGAAGCCTTCGGCTTACGAGGCCAGCACTGCTCGCAACACACTCGCTCGGAAAGAAGCAATAACAACGACAGTGAATGGCAACCAAAGTGAAACACAAGTCCCCAGCCGGTCTCCGTCTTCCTCAGTTCTACTTCTTCTTGTCAGTCACCAGGTCACTGCAACTCTCTCGAGTCCTTGCTGTGCTCCGCGCCGCGTAGGCGTGCACTGCCGCGTGCATAGCTCGAGTCACGCGAGCTCATTTCTATGGTGATCAGATTTCAAGATGTCCTCCCACGTAATCGAGTTTTGGCATCCCAACCGTGAGCCCTGAACTTGAATCTTTAACGAAATGATGCCAGACAAGTATTCCTTCCTTGACTCTCCATTCCTACTACTTGGTCCGCCCAGTTAAAATTGGCGCTTATCTTCTCACTTGGTTTTTTGGTGTTTTGCCTGTGCCACACGGCATGGAACCACCGTTTCACCATGCGAACATAACCATTGACCATTGCATCCGACGACATGGCAGCACAAACCATCACTGAAGTTGCGATCGGTTCGTTTGAGTCTTTTTGACGGAGCTGCCGCCGACGAACACTTCCGTCAGCGCAAGAAAACACTGCAACCTCCACTCGTGTCCGTAAAATAGGTCAGGATGTTCGCATTTCAGAGCGATGGAGAACACAGTTTCTGTCTACTTCCAGCTGTCTGATGGCAAGGATTGTTTACCCCGGGGACGTATAGAAAAGCTGAAAAAGCGCTTCGCGAGCTTGAATTTCAGTGCTTGCACATTACAGCGCCTAGTGAAGGGCTATCACCAGCAAATCGCTGACGAAGAAACTGCAGCTCATGTCGATATCTCCAGTAAGTGAGACCAATACGGCGGACACACTTTGAAGCTCACAGAGGACAGGGCAAAGGAGCTAATCAAAGAAAACACGAAGTTCTGAGAGAAACACTCGTGCAAAGGGCTTTCAGGAAACTAGCCCGAAAGCCTGGTGCACGGCGTTGTAGGTGCAGTACGTACAGGTGCTACATCAAGCGGAAGCTATCAATGCGCTGCATGTAGATCTTCAAGCACCATGCACCAGCGGCTCGCGTGGGTACGGGTGCTGATCAGCAAGTAGCCATTTGAAAAAAGGACACTGATATGGCGTTGCCTTTTTGTCTCAAACAAAGACACATTATTGCGACGAACGGGGATAACACTTACAGTCAACATGCGGGCAGTCTCACTCAGCTTCTGATGGGAAGTTGACAAGCACGCACTGCCTTTGAGCGTGATTCGAGACGAGGAGAAGTGGGACAAGCTATGAAACGACCTGTGCAGCAGCTGTCCGGATCGTACGTTTTGAGCTCTTCCTCCAGCGACGATAGTGGCGAGGAGGATGTGTAACTTGCTTAAATTTCAACTGAGTTGCTTACTGACATGTAAATAATCATGTATATAGTGCTTTGTGATCGTGGCTTGCTTCAAATATTCGTATTTCTTTCCTGAGACAAGTGTGAAGATAAGCGCCAATTTTAACTGGGCGGACCAAGTACTTACTCCCAGTCATAAATACTGTCGAATGTGAACGACTTTGGCGGCTCGGCACGGTGGGTGTTGGGATTCTGCACAATCACAGTGCCCCGCTTGACATCCATCTCAACAGTCCTGCAGAGAGAAAGCACAGCACCGGCAAATATAGAAAAGGCTCACCTAAAAGTGTGCTTGAAGCTGAAGTAAGCCGTTATGTACAACTAATCAGCAGGGGTGAAACGAAGGTGTCAAAGGTTCCAAGAACGTTGTTTACATTCGAAACAAACCTCTGTTTTCAATTGAAAAGAAGGTCAACATAGTCATTAATACTACATGCATGCATGCACTGATCTTCACTGTAGTCTTATTATACTAGTTTACTACAGTGCTGGCCAAAGAAATCCAACATCATTAATAAAGTAGCGCCGCGCTGGAGTGCACAGACTAGTATGCGTAGTGCCAGGGCTGTGTAGCGCCGCGCTGGAGTGCACAGACTAGTATGCGTAGTGCCAGGGCTGTGTAGCGCCCGGCACTATCAATGAGGTTGGATTTCTTTGGCCGGCACTGTAGTACCCAGTGGTCATAGCCTCTGCGTGATAGAACTGTAGATCTACACAATCATACAATTAGGTCTTGATTACCATGCATCATGCATGGTTTTTGTATTGATACACGTCTTGTGTGTGGACTGCACCGCACCGTTTGTATGCTTTCTTTTTCTCCTTGCTGTTCATCGGGCGGCATCTGACGACCACCTGGACACACTCGGCCTTCTTGCTGGAGCCGAGCTGCGCACACAAATTCAACGAAAAGTGCGAGAAAGAATTCAATCGATCAGTTGCTTAACCTTCTTGCAGCGGAACTAGTAAATCACGGATATAGATGTTCTATAGGCGATCAAGCAAACACAACCACGGATGCATTGCCTCAATTCGTACGACTACCTACCGCCGTTGCCATTACGAAGCTTGTCGAAGCCTGAACGCTTCGTGCCGAACGATACGCTGAGCTGTGCTAACGATCGTGGACTGCTGCTAGCATCCAACTGAATCTTGGAGGTGGACAGGGCCGAGATTTCTCTCCAATTTTTTTCCACCTCAGACGATACTCGATAGCGGAGTCGTTTCTATCTTTCTTGCTGTTCTTTAGCTGGAAACTACTCGGTCATGCATGCCCAGCTCGCTGAGGCGTGGGGCTCCACTCGGCCGGCTGTGTTTCCATCTCTCAAACGACGTATTTCCCAAAACTGATGACTGTGTAACTTATTTACGATCAACACGTACTGCAATAATTATTATACTAACTCTGCCGGCCTTGTCTTTCAATGAGTAGTAATGAGCTCCGTCTATGTAGACATGGTTTATCGTGTGATCACTGCACTGTACGTACTGATCACATTGTACTTCACAGCGCGCTAGCACAGTGCCAGTGGTAGCAGTTTGACTTTGAGTTTGAGGCTAAGCCTAAGCACTGCATGCGGCTTGTGAAGTTAGTTAGTTGTGTGGTCACAAATCGTCTGATCCCCTTGGTTACAGTCTACACCTGGCAACACTCGCTTTCCAGCATCATGCTCCATGCAGCAGCGCATGCATGCGCATGCCATGGCATTATTTACAATAATATTATTATTGTATTGCCATGGCATGATTATTTTACAGTATTTTAGTTGTATGATTTGACTGCATGATCTTACTGCAGCGGTATAATTTTAATACTCATAAAAAGGACACACTTCAGGCTCATTACAAACATCTTGAAAGTTTTTGTCTTCACAAGTATACTTTCAAGCCTTCTCATCAGGTGAAATACAGGCAAGGGAAAAGGAACAGGAACAGTGGATTAAATACAGTAAGAAGGTGGTAAAACAGCGCAAAAAGAAAGAAAGAAAGAAAGAAGATAGCTAAAGTAAACAGCGAAAATTGCAATAATGACACAAAGGTGCAAATGGTGCAAATGCGACAAGACACCTACGTGCGTGGCAGTGACAGGAACCGCATCAACCAGAAGAATAACAAGATCGGCAACGGCGGCGATGGCAGCGACTAAAGCACAGACAGAGGCAACGGCTAGGGTCCACTCGACTATATTATATTATTATTAAAAGCATGTCCGCGTAGGTGGCGGGGGTGCCACTTTCGCTTATGCCATTCAGGATTGATATCTGAAGAGTAATACGATACAATAAAATGACAGAAGTGACGTCAACAAAAGCCGTTAGCAACAACACCAATATGACTAATGGAAAACTTCATCCAAAGTATAAAATAAAATAGAATATGCATACAACATGTCTGGTCAGTCCTGTTAGGTGGGGCGGGCTCCACGCCATGCCTGTCGGTCCGCTGCCATTGTGCGGACTGTGTCAACATCTAGCGGCTGGTGGAGGGTAAGTCCATGCCATGATAACAGTTCCGTCTGCAAGACCGTTACCAAAGTCGTCCGAGGTCGACCCCTGAAGCGTTCAGTGCCCTCGTCGTTGGCCAGGCGAAGATACATATCCACTGCCAACTGTGGAGGAGCAGTTGGGGCCAAACGAAAGATATGGCCAGCGAGACTGTAGCGCTGCCTTGTGATCGTCTCGCTGATGGGGACAGCTCCGCAGCGCTTATACAGAGTGTCATTGCTAATTCGTTTAGGGTACCGCATGTCGATGATGCTCCTTAGCTGGGTCCTGTGGAACGAATCCATTCGCGCGAGCTCCGACATCGGTAGGCCCCAAGTGCCGCAGTTGTAGGTAAGGACTGGGATGACGTAGGCGCTGTAGAGCCTCAGCCGAAGACCTTCACTGATCTGGCGCCTCCGGGTCCAGATCTTGAGGAGTGAGTTGAAGGCGGCGGCGGCCAGTTGACGCCTCCGAGCAGCATCTTCGGCGTCACCCAGGAGGGAGCCTAGTTTGCGGACAGTACGCCACGTTTCTTGGTTCCTATCGGGAAATCGGGCGACGGTGGTATGCTCTGTCTTGGAGGGATTAACGTTCAGGTTCCATCTCGCAAGAACTGCTGGAGCTTGTTGTTCAACTTCACTGAGAAGTTGAACAACACTCGACTAGCCATGTGAAATCGGATGTGTCCACCGCACATGTTGATTGTTCTGATGTTAGTTCTGATAAGTATGAGTCGTCCATTGCTAGTCATTTGTTTGAGCATCCTGATTGTCGTGCTGTGTATTCGGATGATTGTTTTTCGATTGTGTCACGTGTACGCAGTGCTAGATTGCTGAATGTTTTGGAAGCTGTATACATCCACACAAGGAAACCCAACCTTTGCAAGCAGAAACAAATCAAATTCACACTTAGGCTGTTAGGTAGGTCGTCAAAACCTCGTTAGTTACATGTATGTCCAGTGGTTGTCTCTTGTTGTCGCACTACATGTCGCGCTTATTGAGTTTTCTCGCATTTGCACCTTTGTGTCATTATTGCAATTTTCGCTGTTTACTTTAGCTATCTTCTTTCTTTCTTTCTTTCTTTTTGCGCTGTTTTACCACCTTCTTACTGTATTTAATCCACTGTTCCTGTTCCTTTTCCCTTGCCTGTATTTCACCTGATGAGAAGGCTTGAAAGTATACTTGTGAAGACAAAAACTTTCAAGATGTTTGTAATGAGCCTGAAGTGTGTCCTTTTTATGAGTATTATCGCATTTTTGTCTCAGAGGAAACTGTATAATTTTAAATTTAAATTATGACTGTATACAGCACGGTACACGTACATGGTACACGTACATGGTACACGTACATGGTACACGTACATGGTACGTTACACGTACATGGTACACGTACATGGTACACGTACGTACGTACATGGTACACGCATGTACATGGTACACGTACATGGTACATAACATGAACAGTGATCATGGTCAACCGCATCGTTGATGGCAATGCTTCCGGCTGGTGGACCGTGCCTCAACTCAAGCAGGAAGGTTATGACATGTCGGTGGTCCAGTTCCGCGATCAGTTGGCTATTCGCTATGGCCAGGAGCCGAATGCTCTCCCGTCGCATTGCGATGGCTGTGGAGCTGCTTTCTCCCTACAGCATGGTCTGGATTGCATGAAGGGTGGGCTCATCAAGCGCGGGCACAACGATGTCCGCGACTTCGATGCCCGGCTGGCAGACGTTGCCTGGGGAGGTGTGGCTGTCGAGCCGGTGATGGTACCTGTGCAGGATGGCAACAACCGTCCCACACTGCAGGCGGATTGGCTGGTCCGGGGAGTTTGGGAAGGAGACAGGGTTTGATAACTGCATCGTGGATGCCGACGCACCCAGCTACGTCCGCTCGAACCTCTCTTGGAACGCCGTATCCAACAGTGCTGCCTCTTCCAAGAAGAGAAAGTGTAATGGGTAGCCGAGTGGTAGGCGCGGTGAAATCAACACGAATTACTTTTATTCTACTTCTTTCAGGTACACACCTGAGATATAATTATTAGTGAAAGAAGAAGCGGCAAAATAAATAACTTTCTCTCCGGTGCTCACCTAGAGGCTGAATCCTTATTCTTCGAGTTAGCTTTCATTGCTATCCAATCTAATCTAATCTTCTCTTCATCAAAACAGAAATGTGCAGCCGCTTTTATGCAGCAGACGCCGTACGCTTACATACGGAGATACACTAAATATACATCAGGCAAAGCTCCGTATTAGTTCCGTACTGCTTCCGTATTGGTCGGGCAGGGATACTACACCCTCCCTTCCTACAGATAATCACGCCCTCGTGATTTTCAAAAGTAGGCAGGTGGGTGAATGTTCTGTCTGGGCCGGAGATTGTACGGAAGTGCAGGAGGAGGCGGAGCGGGGGGGTTGGAGTTGAGGAGGAGGCGGAGCGGGGGGTGGGGGTTGCGGTAGTGGTGTATGTGCCGGGGTGGTGTGTATCTCGGGATCGTATGTCGGTGGTGTCGCAGGACGTAAATCTACGTCGGTTACTTGATGATATGGCTTCAGGCGATTTACGTGAACAATTGAAAGCCTCTGGCGATCCGACAATGAACGAATGCGGACTGTGACATCATCGATCACCTTCTGGATGACATATGGTCCTGTCCAGAATCGGTGAAACTTGGGGGACTCATTCTGAGGGACCACTGGTGAATGTAGGAGAACAAGCTGATCCTTCGTGAACTTCGGTGGCGGGCGAGATGTACCATCGTAACCCTTCTTCTGGTGCTGGTGTGATTTAAGGCCGTGCTGGCGGGCACGCTCAAAGGCAGCCTCAGTTGAAGTACGAATAGAAGAGACGAATTCAGGGTAAGATGGTGGTGGTGAGTTACGGGGTAAACCATACATCACATCGAGAGGCAGAACCGGATCATACCCAAACTGGAGGCGGAATGGAGAATAGCCAGTCGATGCATGTACACTAGTGCGGTATGCTAGCGCCGTGGGTTGGAGATGCAAGTCCCAGTCTCGGTGATCAGAGATGGATGTTGCAATCATAGCTTCTAGTGTCCGGTTGAATCTTTCAACCATGCCATCACTTTGTGGGTGGTAGGGGGTGGTTCTGGTCTTGGTGATATCAAGCATAGTGCATAGGCTTTGAAACAAGCGACTCTCAAACTGGGAACCTTGATCAGTGTGCAAGGCAGCGGGTGCACCATAGCGACAGATCCAACCATTGAAGAACAAACCAGCGACAGTAGAGGCGAGCATGTTGGGCATGGGGAAAATCTCAACCCACTTGGAGAAGTAATCCATTATGACTAATACGTACCGATTTCCTCGATCAGTGATAGGAAGGGGGCCCATGATGTCCATGGCGACACGCTGGCTTGGATAGGATGATGTTTGCGATTGCAGAGGTGCTTTCGGTTTGGGCTGAGGTGCTTTCCGTTTTTGGCACTCCGGGCAGGTTCTAGCACCCTGTTCGATGTCATCAGCCATGTGGGGCCAGTAGAACCGTGTACGGGCCTTGTCGATGGTGCGGTTGACGCCAAGATGACCCGATCCAATACCGGCATGCAGTGATCTGACAACAGTAGGACGTTGTGACGCAGGCAGGACCAATTGAAGATACGAGGACAGATCATCAGTCGACTCATACCTTCGGTAGAGAACACCATCTTGGACAATGAGACGATTGAACTGCGTCCAGAGTCGGTGCACATCAGGATGAACAGCAGCTAACTCATCTGATCCCTTAGGTGGTCGTTGCTGTGACCTCACCCACTTCATCACTAGAGAAATCGAGGGATCCACAGCTTGGCTAGTGCGGAGGGAGGTAGACGGCAGCCAGGACGCTGACGGAGCAGGCTCACGA